TAGAGCCAAAAGGTTAAAAAGTATCAGTGAATGAAACACAGTTTGCCCTGAAATCAGAGCCATCTGTGCCCCGACTAAACTAACCAATCCCTGAGCAGGAAAAACTAACCAATCCCTGAGCAGAAAAACCTTTCCCTGGGACAACTCCACCCCTAAGAAGCCCTATATAAGCCTGTCTGCTGGTCCAATTGCTGGCTGTCCTTCACCGTCCTGGCAGAGGCAGCTGTTCTCCTGGATTCCTCCTTCCCAAATAAACCTCTTTCTCAAAAGAGTCTTGGGTGAAGCTCTCCATTCACCAGTGCAGAACAGAAGTGGCTGAGTTGCTCCCTTAGGGGGATTGAGCAAGGCTCTGGAGAATAGGAGAAACTTGCTAGGACATTCCCTTAGGGGGCTGAGCAAGGTTGTAGCAGAGAAAGTAACAACTTTTTGCTGGATGATGACTCTAGGACAGGAGCAGGATTGGTAAATCCTGTAAGAAGACCATCCCCTACCACACCCCAGCTTCAGGTAGCCTGGCTTCCTGGTCAATCAGGACACCTTGCTCTCTAGGGCTGAGCTGTCCTAGGTGGCTTGGCTTACTGATAAATCAGTACACCTTTGCAGCTCCAGAGCTGTGAACACTCACACTTGCTTACATTTTGGTGGAAAGCACTCACAGTGCTAGACTTTCTTTAATCACCATGTGAGAGTCAGTCACGTTGTGTTTGTGTCACTTGTCTCCTGAGCACTAGTTGTTGTTGAGTAGATCTTTTGTTATTTGTGTGTGTGTGTGTGTGTGTGTGTGTGTGTGTGTGTGTAAGAGAGAGAGAGGCAGAAAGAGAGAGAGAGGAGTCCATGTGCAAATGTGCATGCAGGTGCTCAAGGAAGCCAGAGAAGTCAAATCTGGAGCTGGAATCACAAGCACTTGTGAGCCATTATGTGGCTGGTAGGAACCAAACCCAAGTCCACTATAAGAGTAGTAAAGTGTTATCTTTTTGTTTTGTTTGCTTGTTGGTTTGGGATTTGTTTGTTTGTTTTGTTTGTTTGGTTGGTTGGTTTTGGTTTTGGTTTTTCGAGACAGGGTTTCTCTGTGGCTTTGGAAGTTGCCCTGGAACTTGCTCTATAGACCAGGCTGGCCTGGAATACACAGAGATCTGCCTGCCTCTGCCTCCTGAGTACTGGGATTAAAGGTGTGCACCACCAACGCCTGACTAATAGTTAAGTGTTGTTAACCACTGAGCCTTTTCCCCAACCCTGGTGATATTCTCTTAGTCTGGACTCTTGGCTTCTCCTGGCCGCATCTGTATCTTTAAATTCTCCTTTACCTTTCCTGTGTGTGTTGAAGATGCACAAATGGGGGGGGGGTGTTTATGTATACAAGCAAAGTTTAAATTTCCACACAAAAAGTTCTTAGAAATCAACAGACTACATTACTTTTGCTGATAAACAGTGCCAGCTTCCAAAATATATTTTCTCATTTGTGTATCAGTTACTCGTGCTATTATCCATTCCATTTAATTTTTGCTTTACACATACAAAACAATCATTTAGATGCAGTGTATTTTTAAACCTTCTAAAATAATTTGATCACGAATAGACAAATGATTCAGCTGTTAATATAGCTTCTGAGGAGGACTGGAGTTCAATTCCCAGCACCCACATCAAGTAGTTTACAACCACGTATAATAACTCCAGCTCCAAGGAATCTAAAGGTTCTGGCCTCCACAGGTATATTCATTCACAGGCCAAATCCTCACCCCAAACACACATATATACACATAATTTACAAAATAAAACCTTTGAAAAGAAAAGAAAATAATCTAAATGAGAAAGTAAGCAATTCAATTTGCTAATAAAAATATTCCAGATAAAACAATGTAAGGACTCAGTTATTATTCTGACCTGCCCCTGTCACCTGGCAGAATGCACTCAGGCAGTAGCCCAGCCAGCCCAGGGTTCCATGATTGCCTAGTCTGCACGCATGTGCAAAGGACCCCTTTAAAACAAAGACCTTGGCCCACTTACATTCTCTTTCCTGGATCCTCTTTTTCCCCTCTCTCTTTCCTGCTCTTCCCCTTGGGGCAGACAGCACTTGTCCTGTCTCCCCCTTCTCTTCTGTCCTCTCTCTGTCTCTTTACCTCTTTTCTCTTTCCTTCCCCCTCCCTCCCCTTTTCTAATAAAACTTTTCACTAAGCTCTGACTGCCCGGCATGTTTGCCCCTCCACCACGGTCACCCTCGTCTGCCATGTGCTTTATCCTGACAATGTCTCCATTAAATATAATGCAAACTTCTGAACATGAAAATCAAACAAAAAAACAATAGCCCAACCCACAAACAAGGACTTTCAGGTGTGCTCTGCTATCTGACACATACATGTTTGCCTGGGCAAGCTCATGCCACCAGTGTGTGTTGAAATCTCATTGTAGCTCTTTGTCCCTGTACACAAATAGAACCAAGCTTTCCAGATTAAGCGGCAACCACTTTCTCTTTCTCACATGAAAGAAAGGCTTACTGTGTCTAACAATGTCTCCTGGAGGCCAGCCCTGGAAAAGGCTTCTTTATGTGAGTCACAACCTCCAAAGCATAAAGAAGGCCTTCAAATAGATAAGGATATCTCCATACAAGTGGGAGGGGCAGTGTGCTCAGGACTTTCCTGGGGAGACTTAGAAGCAAACTGCTAGAAGGCATAAATAACTCATACGAAAATGTCCATCGACCCAACATTCCCAAATATTGCACAAATATAGAAGCCCCCTCAAGCATGTTACACTCAGAGACCAAAACCAAAAGTGGCATGGCAGCCATCATGCCACTCAGCTTGCTGGATCTTTGTCAAGCAACTGTGCTGTCTTTATGACTTTTGTCATTCCCATCAAATATGGCTGCACCAACTGACCTCAGGCTGCCACTGTGTGTGGATCTCAAGTGGGAAAAAAAGTATCTCTTAAATTAGTCTGCAGTTGTGACAATTATCTATTTTTTCTTCATTCCTCCCTGATCCACAGTAAAGCCTGGACCACCCAAACACACTGGGTCAGGAATGGTGGAGCACAGGGATGATGGGAAGGTGTCTAGCTACCAGCAGGTGCATCCACTTGGGACACATCCCTGCACTGCTACACATGTAATATTCATCCACAGACTTCTTATAAGTACTCTCAATTCAGTATTCTACTTTCCGGAGCTCCAGGGGGGGCTTTGTAGCCCTGTGGGAAGTAACCAGCAATTCACCTTCAACCTTTGTCCCTTTGATGTCCTACTATCGCTGTTGGTGGTCCTTACCTTCTGTGACTGTTCATAAACAATTTTGTGTGATTATAAATTATTGGTATGCATTTTATTGAAGGCCTAAGTCTCAAGAGTTCCAAGTTCAGGTTATCCAGAAATCACAGAAACAGTTTTCTTTTCCTGGAAATGCTTGTGCTGCCCAGCAAGAAACCAAAGCAGGCCTGGTTGGTTTCATTTTTAATGTTTATGGTTGTGAGTCTCAGTAACCAGCCATTTCTGTCCTGACAGAGGGACCCAGGCCAAGCTGGGAGCTATTCTAGGCCTTTCTTCCAGCCTCACTCCAGTGTCCTCATTTACTCCCCTCCCCCGGCTTCCAGTGTTAAACCAGGAATGTGTGCCCTCGCGGGAGGACATGTCTCTGGGGTATTTGTTGTGGAGCTCTGTGCTGCAGTGGCCACTTCAAGGGGTTCAGCATTCTCCACCATTGTTAGGAAAATTGTGGATCCAGTTGCTGCCAGAAGGTTTTTGGTTTCTTTTTAACTTTTTTATTTATTCTTTGTGGCTTACAGATCCTGCAACTCTATCCCACCCATCTCCCTGTCCATTTGTATCTTACCTCTGCCCTTGTAACCTTACCACCACCACCACCAAAAAGTAAGATATAAGAGAAAAGAAAAAAGAGGGGGGGGGATGAAAAATCAGGTTGTGGTAGCTGTGGTGTGGCCCAGTGAGTCACACAGTACACACTTTAGTCCACACATCTTTACTTGTGTGCGTTGCAGAGTCATTGGTCTGATTTGAGGCCTCTGGTTCCTGCTGCACTATCAATGCTGGGCCCTCACTGGGGCTCCTCTTGGATATCCTGTTATTGCCCTGTGTAGTGGAGATTCTGTAGCTTTGAATCTGCGGGGCCAGCCCCTCACCAGCTGCAGGGATGAGCAGAGTGGCCCCTACACCTCACCTGGGAAACACAGTAGAGCTGGCCCTGATGGTGCAGGTGTGGGTAAGCCCGCCCTGAAGGTGTGAAAGCAGGAAGACCAGCGCAGCCCCTTGCTTATGGCTATATAGGGTGAACTGGCTAGGGCAATGCTGGAGGACTCTTAGTAGTTAGCTCTCAAACCCAGGACAAATGGCTGACTGAGGTGCCTATTTAACATGTCAGATCAGATCTGGCTGCCAGGTCCTGCCAGCATCCCGCAATCCCTACCTGTTACATGGTACAGCTGGTATAGCCCATCCCCTACCCTAAACTCCTCCAGCCCAGAGGCTGGGCTGCCCTTTCTCCTGACTGCCTTCCCCTATATAGTCCATCCATTTTGGTTACCTTTTGTCTCTACCCTTTACTCTCCTGTCTTGGTCTCTTGGCTCTCCTCTCTCCCCTCCCTCCTCTCCTCACATGGCTCCAGGTCATGTTCACTCTGGACTCTCCCGATGTCCCTGCCTCTGATTATGCTCTCCTTTTCATCCACAATAAACCTTTACCTCCACCACAACCAGGAGCTGTCATGTCCTCCTCCTTCCTTCCTTCCTTCCTTCCTTCCTTTCTCTTTATTTTTTTTCATTCAGGGGCTGTTTAAGTGTCTCAGTAATCTAAATTATTGATGGACATTTCATACAAAGAAAAAGCCTCCCTTTGCCAGGATGGTGGCGCACACCTTTAATCCCAGCACTCAGGAGGCAGAGGCAGGTGGATCTCTGTGAGTTTGAGGCCAGCCTGGTCTACAAAGTGAGTTCCAGGACAGCCAGGGCTACATAGTGAGATTGTCTCAAAAACAAACACACACACAAGAAAAGAAAAGAAAGACCGTCCTTTACCTTCTTTTAGTGTACAATCTATACTTTTATTATAATAAACAGCATGCACATTAATTTCTTCTTTTTATACAGTTTCCTTAGTGTATTTCAGAGTTGACCACTGAATCTTAGTTTTACTGTGACGTTGTTGTCATAAAGTCTAAACGTCATCACGGCCTGGCCAGAGTACTTCAGGAATCTTTCCAGTTTCCAGTGTCTTGGAAGCACTAGAGTCACCTAAGTCCCAGGCCAGCTGCCTCATTCTCCCAGTCTTTGCAGCCTTACTCAGAGTTCTCACGTTCTGCCAAGAAAACTTTTTTCTTAAGTAAAATTTTAGCATCATCAGTCACTACATCAAGAAAATAATTTTGGATGTAGTAACTCTTTCTAAAGTAAAGGCCAGTGGCTATGAATCCGCCGGTGACAGCAAATATTTTCTCCAGGTATTTCACCAGTTTATCCCCCACAGATTCATCCATCTCACAAGACAGCAAATGGGGTGACTTAAGGATGGACTCAAGTTCCTCCAAAGGCAGGGACAAATCCCTGGCCACGTTTTCCAGAGACTTGTCATCCATCCCAAAGCAAGACCTGTAGTGGAGCAGGATCTTCTCCAACTCCTGGACATCGTCCTTGAAGAAAGACATCATGGGGATGGTAGCTGATGCTCCAGACTTCAGAGCCTCCAGCCAGATCTTCTGTTTCAGGGCATCTTTCCTGCGATCAATAGCAGCCTCGGTTATATTAGGGATGCACTGCATGAAGATGTGACGCTTGTGTGCTGGCAACTCCTTCAAAAGGGTGGATTCCAGTTGAGGAAAATCAAACTGTGCTACCTCGATGCTAGAGACTAAGAAGACACGAGTGAAGGCTACATCTGCTTCCTGGAGTTTCTCTACACATTTTTTTCGGATATTCACCAGGATTTCTTCCTTATTGTAGGTCCTTGGTGTACATCTTTTCTGATTCCACAAATCACTATCAATCTTTGTTCGAACAAAATAGAAATTCTTTTTCATTTTTTCAATTGCTTTGGCCAGCTGGGCATCATTCTCTTTGAAGCGAGTAGCTGAGATGATAAGAAAAAAGTCGTACTCCTGGAATTTCATTTTTTTCAGATATTCTTCTGGTTTAAAGGTAGTAGACCCAACCCCAGGAAGATCCCAGATGGTCACATTAGGGAACTTGGGGTGGGTATATTTCTCTCTTTGAATTGTTGTCTCTACCACTCCACTCCTAGCTGATTCCATCTCTTCATGTCCAATGCCCCGCAGGGCATTGATGAACGTAGACTTCCCTGCCCCAGTCTCTCCTGTCACTGCAATGCTTAGAGGGGCATTCTCGATGTCAGTCAAAGCAGTGTTGATTGCAGAAATCGTCTTCTGTACATCCCCTTCCTGCAGAAACAACTGAATTGAATTGATGGTCTCCTCAGAAATGACTTTACTCTCCATCTTGAAAGTTTTGAAAAAGGCATTAAAGCTGGAGGCCATATTGTGGGCATTTGCATCAGGTGTGGAAGAAGACTGACCCATGGCTGCAGTCAGTGAAAGACACTGGAGGGAAGGCAAAAAGAAGATCAAAGGTCAGCACAGCACGGAAGGGCTCAACTCTGCTGTTAGGGTGGAAGCTGCTCTCCAAACTTACTAGGACTAGGAGCATTGCCCTACTCTGTTCATTGGTGTTTCTGGAACTTGGCTGCTTTGCTTTTCAAAAAAATTGTTTGTTAATTTGAAGATCTGATTTCTCAATCCAAACTTTTTAACCTATTTTATTCTTCATCTTGTTTTATTTTTATTATTTTGAAAAAAAAAGTTTGGACACAACACCATCTGATAAGCAAAAGGAGAAATGGCACCACACTGCAGCCCATTTGTGGCGTGGCAATTCCTGACTCTGAGAAGTCTTGGAGAGTGAGAGTGTAACACAGAGGCACAGTGTTTGCCTAGCTTGCGCCTGGCCATGGGTTCGATCCCCTGGACCACATACACACAAAAATCAAGGATTACCATAAAGTTATAAGACAGTATGGGGTTGCTGAAAGAGTAAACAAACAGAATGATGTAAAAAAAAAAAAAAAAAAAAAAAAAAAAAAAGACTCCAGCTGGAGAGATGACAGCAGTTAAGGGTACTTGCTGCTCTTACATGGGACCGAGTTCAATTCCCAATATGCAGATCAGGTGGCTCACAACTACCAACAACTACAGCTCTAGGGGATCTGATGCCCTCTTTTGGACTCTGAGTACATCTGCACTCACATGCACATACCCACATGAAGACAAACACACATATACATAAATAAAAGTAAAATAAACCCTAGCAATAAACCCCACTACTTCTCTACAAAACACAAATGTTACCAGCAGACTGACAAGATAATCACAAATTGGAAAAAAAAATATTTGCAAAGTCCCATCCAATAAAAGACTGTGGCCTGAAAATATATAAATAACTCTTGAAATTGAGAAATAAGAACAAAGAGCATCATAAAAAAGATGGATGTGGTGGCACCCACCTTTAATCTCAGCACTTGAGAGGCAGAGACAGACTGACCTCTAAGTTCAAGACCAGACTGGTCTACAGTGAGTTCCTAAGGTATCCAGGACTACATAGGGAGACCCTGTCTCAAAACATCAAAAGTAAAATAAAAATAAAAAAGTAAAATGGAACTGAAGGCAAGGATGTAATGATATCACTAAACCCTAGATAAATATTAAATGGGTGTTAACTGGGGAACCATTACACAGAAAACTACAAAGAACCACAAGAGCGTTTCCCTGTCCTTCCTACTGGATCCGCTGACCCACCAGGAATAGCATGCCAAGGAAAGCCACGCCTCAAACTCCTCTTTCTGCTTCTGTCTGCCTGAGGCCATGCCCAAGGAGGTGTGCCTACTGTTACAAGTTCATTGACAAGACACCTACCTGGAACACTCACTTTAAAAGACAGCATGGCAGTTTCTTTATCACTAAACAGTCAACGTGTGCGCTCCTTGACATTTTACATGTTTTCTCCCACAAAAAAACATGCACATGGATGTTTCTAGAGGGTTTATTCATATTACAAACCTTGGAAATATCCAGGATGCCCTTTAGTAGGTGAATGAACTAATAAGATGTGGAATTCCCAAGATGACCGTGTACTATTCAGAAGTATACGAGCTGCACTGTTAAGCCATGAAAAGACAAGTGAGTCAAAGCACCCACAAAGGCTACATAACTCCCTAGCACATCACACATGCTGAGTTACCTTCCAGATATAGCAAAGTTATGGGGAAAAAAACAAGAATCAAGTCAGTGGTTGCCTCTTGTAAGAGCCTGTGTGAAAAGGCAACACAAAGAGTTGTGGGCAGTGAAAGTACTCAGCGTGACACCATAACGGGGTGTGTGCCAAGATGAATCCTGGATAAATATGAGCTGGAGGCAACTCTCACATGGTCTCTTAATCTTGTCTGGCCACAACCTATCACTGACAGTTTGCTATTCTGGTAGGGATGCTGGTGATGGGACATGCATGTTCAGGGACAGCAGCCTTTGGGGAGACCATTCATGTGTCAGAGCAGCAGTCTGTAAGAAGTCACTACCTGTCTCTTGATTTCTCTATGGAATCAAAAACTTCTTTTAAAAAGTAAAATATTAATTAAAAAAAAAAACAAAACCTAAAGAATAAAAAACAGAAGAGACGCCTCTGGGATATTTAATGAGATTCCTTTAAATTATATTTTGTTTACTTTGTGTGTGTATGGGAATGAGTCTCAAGCAGAGGTAAAATGCCTTGTGAGAGTTGGTTCTCTCCCTCCACCACGTAGGGCCTGGAGACTGAGATCAAGTCATCAGGCTTGGTGTCCAGTGCCTTTACCTACTGACTCATTTCATGGGATTTTCTAAGAGGCAGTCCACCCGAGCTGAGCCCACTCCTCACCCTGCTCCATCTTGTGTAGAAGGAATCCAAACACATCCCAGGACTGACTCCTGTAGAATGTCCCACAAGTAGAAGGGATAGTGTGAATGATACAAGAGTAGGGGTTGAAGAGGGAAGAGGGCATTGTCAAGAAGATTCCTCTGTCACTTTGGAAGGGCCATGTGTAAGGATTCAGGCATTATGCTGGCCTGCCTCTGTCACCTGGCAGAACGCACTCTGGCAGAACTCTGGTCAGCCCAGAGTTCCATGACTACTAGTCTGTACATAGGTGCAAAAGACCCCTTTAAAAGAAAGACCCCACTCATTCACCCTCTCTTTCCCTCTCTCTTTCCTGGTGTTCCTCTGGGGCAAACCTGACGTTTCCTGTCTCCCTCTTTTGTCCTCTCTCTGTTTCTGTGTCTTTGTATCTTTTTACTTCTTTTCTCTTTTCTCCTCCCCCTTTTCCCTTTCTAATAAAACTTCTCACTAAGCTCCATCTGACTGGCATGTTTGTCCCCCCACCTCAAACACCCTCACCTGCCATGGAATTTGACAAGGTACACCATGAGCTTTATTCCTAACACCATGACCTCTCAGGTCATAAAAGACTTATGACACAGGAAACAAGAAGAAATCACATGTCCAGTGTAAACATAATTATATAAACCCTCTATACTGAACCTCATAGAGAGGGGGTATGTGGAATATTCCTTTATACTATGTGAATATATGTCATTGTGATCAGTTTAATAAAGAAGCTGACTGGCCAATCACTGGACAGGTAGAGGATAGGCAGGACTTGCAGAGAAAAACAGAGTGTGAGCTAGAAGGGAGGAGTCTCAGGATTTCGAGAAGAAAGAGAGAGAAGGAAGACAAACTTGCCATGTTGAAATAATTCATCTGAGAAGATATGCAAGTTCCGTTTTGATATGTATATGACCAGGGATGGCAAAAAAAAAAAAAAATCTCCTTGACAGAATGAGAGACATCTGGCTTATAACTGGGTAGGTAAGGAAGCTACCTATCTGTGCCTGTCCAGCATAAATATCCACACACATATCCCTGAATGGACACACACACACACACACACACACACACACACACACACACACCAGGTGGGGAAAGCATCCAACATGTGTAGACAGCAGCAACTGTCTCACCCAGCAGCATCTCTGAGAATATGTATTTTGTGTTACAATGAGCAAGTCTGAGGACAAAAAGGATTGACTCCCAGAACCTTGTCTTCTAACTGTTGGCAGTGCACCTATCCACTGAGAACAAGCCAGGGCAAAATGAGAAGGAATGAAGGGAATGTGTCCTATGAAGCTTGTGTGCTTTTGCGCACAGTTTCACTCTGTCCTAACAACCCTGTTAACACAGTGTAAAGACTTCCTCCTTAAAAGTAAGCACTCGGGTTCTAAGGCTTGAGCCCATGGCCTTGTGCATGCTAGGCAAGTACCCTACCACTGAGCTGCATACCCAGTCCTTTCCACCTGAAGAAGATTAAGGATCAAAGAAACCAAGAAATTGAGAGATATGAAGGAGGGAAGTCCTACTGTTCCCTAAGATCAGAGCGAGGATTCAAGGTTGAAGTTCTGAGGACAGAATTATTTGCAGAGGCCAAGGCCAAGCTCCATAGTTTGATTGAGAAATGAGAGTTCAGGAAGACACATGAACTCTTGAGTTTATGCTTAGATAATGTTCCTTGTCTTCCAAGTCAATGGTGTTTAGATATTCAATAGGAGATTAGGAGATGTCTAGTGCTAGATATTGTCCAGTATAGTCCCTATCCTTTGATACCCCTGTCCCCTGTCTTTTCCATAACCTGGATATGAATGCTGTCTAATAACATTACAGATATTAAGTTCTCTGAATGGCTCTTAGCTGTCCTCCACCCATCCCGCCCCTCAGCCTAAGTCCATGGCACTCCAACCACATCAGGCATGCAGGCTGTTCCACACTCAGACCTATAGCCTACAATCCTAGTTGTAATCCTGTATTAATTAAAATATGTATCTTCTCACTCACCAGCTCCCTTGAGATAAGGAGATTTCTGGTGGCAGAGTTGAGTTCCTAACCTTCCCACTGGAAGAGCAGAGAATGGGTTCTGTGAAGAGCTTCCCACAGCATCAGGCACAGCTAGTGCACACAGACCTGCACAGATTGGACTTTGAAATCCACCTGTGATGTGCTTGACTGTGTAACGGCTGTGACTGCTACAGAGGAGACTGAGCTGTGTTTGAAGAGCTCTGAGGTTTTTGCTTTCACAAGAGTCCTGTCAACAGAGGGAGGGAGCCACAAACAACACTGCAGAGTAGGAACTTCCAGGAACATGAAAATGAAAGTAAACTTCTCATCACAACAATTTCTATCCATAGAAACTGAAAGCCACAGTTGGCCTGCTTCTGGCATGAACAATGGGGGGGGGGTGTGCAGAAATCATGGGAGGAGGATGCAGTGTCTGAGGAGAGGTCATTTCATCTGGACTGTATTTATGCTATCCAAGAGCTGAACCAGAACTCAACCCACAAACCCACTCATGGCCTGGTTCCATCATCTGTACAACCAGTCTCTGTGGGGATAATAAATAAACTAATGTGTTTACATGCCCTGTCCTGGGTTCAGACTTTCCAAAACTCTCTAAGTTTCCTCATTAATTTACTATGGACTCTTGAGGTCCCACAGAGGAAGGGAAAAAAAGTATTTGCTCAGGCTTGGCAATTGGCCACAATAGCTCTCAGGACTCAGGAGAGTGCTAGATTTACAACTTCAGTTTTAGTGCAAAGAGGCAGGTCTAGGAGGGAGCACACAGCATGCCTTCCCTCCTCCCTAGAATCAGGGTACATCCTCTTCCAAGCATATTGATGTATTGTTCACTCACAAGGCTCCACTGAGCTTTATAATCCAGGGATTGTGCTGTCTGCTTCTAGGCCCCTTCCTCTACACAGATGATACTCATTGGGAGAGGAGCTGTCAGGGTGGCTAGAAGCATCCCTGGCACCTGCCCCCTACATATCAGTAACATCCAAGTCCTCTAAATGGGAGAGGGGAATAGCCCCAGGTGAGTTACGTTCATCCAGAAAGAGAAATTGCCAATATTGAGATAAAACAATATCACTACAGATATAAACATTAAGCAGCATATTGATTCCCTACTGATGCTGTAACAATCTAGGCAGTGCAAATCCATCATAGTGCTGCAATTAAGAAATCCAGCCAAGGGCTGGAGAGATGGCTCGTGGTTAAGAGCACTGCCTGCTCTTCCAGAGGTCCTGAGTTCAATTCCCAGCAACCACACAGAAGCTCACAACCATCTATAATGAGGCCTGGTGCCCTCTTCTGGCTTGCAGGCACATGCAGGCAGACTACTGTATGCATAATAAACAAACAAAATCTTTAAAAAAAAAAAAAAAAAAAAAAAAAAAAAAAGGAGGCAGAGGCAGGTGGATCTCTGTGAGTTCAAGGCCAGGCTGAATAGCCTGGTCTACAGAGCAAGTTCCAGGACAGGCTCCAAAGCTATGGAGAAACCCTGTCTCTAAAAAGTTAAAAAATAAAATAAAAAATTCAGCCAGAGTCCCAGCAGACTAAAATCAAGACATCTGCAGGGCTGCTCTGAGAATGTGCCCAGTAGGTAGAGTGTTTGTCTGGCACTCATGAAGCCACTGGTTCCATCTTGGGTACTGCATAAACTGGACTCAGAAGAACATACCTGTGATTCCACTTGGGAAGTGAAGGCAAGAATTTCAGAAATTCAAGGTCAAGTAGTTCAAAGTTAGCCTGTGCTACTATCTCAAGAAATCTTCAACAGAAGTAATTTTGAAATTATAAAAACCCTTTTTACCAAGGAAGCTGCAGACTTTGCACAAGGCCAGGTGGTTTCCCTGGATGCGGCCAAGAATAGCCAGCCCACACTGACGCCTTGTCTGAGAGTCCTAGTACAACAGAAGGGCTCTTCCTGGGTCTAGCTTTTGGCGGGAATCCACAAGCCCTCAACTCTGGTAGCTCTTTCTTTACACATCTTAACCTGGAAGTGGCAGTGGTGTCCAGACTTTCTAATTTGTGAATGTCTTCCTGTTCCATTTTGCCTCCTTATTTATCCCATCAACAACATCATAGCAATCCAGTGTGAAATTCCTAATAGTCCCACTTTCCTGATTGCTGATTCAGAGAATGCATTTAAAAACAGAATAAAAGTCTTTGAACAGAGACTAGCAGGGACTAATAGCTCTGAGCACTGCAGCCCAGCAGCAACCAGCAGGGCCACCCTGCTCCCCAACCATATAGCTCAGCATCCAGCTGCCTAGTACTCTATAGCACCACAGACCTGCACTTCATCATGGAGTACCATTGAGAACTTTTAGAAAGAACTTGACTTTTTTCATTTTATTGGCACATATCAATTTATGTTTTCCTGTTAACTGCATTAGCATACTCTAATTATATAAGTGTTTTCAAGACAATGTCTGCATGCCTGGGTCATACCTGGATTATATTTAGCCCTACTGCCCCTTTATCGTCATTCTAACAGAGTTGTTTCCACAGTTGTTGATGGGATGTGTGCTGGTCATTCACTGCACCCTGCCTAACCTTCCCAGACCCTGTGATTATTTTCAGTTCCTCAGTTCCACATGTGAGAAAGCACAGTTGTCAGTCTCTCATTACACATTTCACATTTTGCTGCAAGCAGGATATCTTTGGCTTCCCATGTGAAAAGCTGTCTCCTGTTGTCCACAGGTATTAACAGTATGTGGCAGACATGTACAGACACCCCTTCTGTGTATCCCCAGGAGTGACAGGGCTGGACCCTTCCCCGTTAAGATCACATGGAAATACTTAGATTAATAGAAATGGGTTAATAATTAAGACAGAGCTAGTCATCGGCCAAGAGTCTTATAACTAATATAGCATCCGTGTGCTCATTTGGGGCTGAAGGGCGGTGGGACCAGCCAAGACAAAGAACTTCTCGTAAAAATGTTATATAGATAATGCACACTGGAAGTGCCTGTATTTTCTTAAGGATGCATTTTAAAGTATGTATATGTGTATAAGTACACTTAGAGGCTTGAAGAGGATGCTGATATCCCCTACAGCTGGAGTTACAAGCAGTTGTGAGCCACCTATGTGAATGCTGGGAACCAAACTTAGGTCATCTCCAAGAGTAGCAAGTACTCTTAACTGCTCATAATGTAATGTTTTAATAGTTTTAAGCAGTGCCTGGGATGTAGCTTAGTAGTAGAGCATTTGCCTACCATGCCTAAGATCTGGTGCTGTAGATGAATGAGTTTATCCTGGGATGTCTGTCTTGTCCAATTGCTCTGTGTGTCTGAGGTTTCTTGTATATTAGTATCATATTGGTTTTATTACTATGGCTATCTGAACCATACTGTCTAGCCTGGCTGCAAACTTAGTATGTAAAGGGACCTTGTCATTTACCAAGCTCTGTGCCAGTACTTGCACTAAAGAGAAGCTGAAGTTTAAAAAAAAAAAAAAAAAAAAAAAAAAAATAGCCTGGAATTAAGGATTTTGGTTCAAGTGTTCCTACTATAAGGATTGGAGTAACATACATATCAAGTAATCACATCAAAATACTAAGGTCATTCTTCACAGAGGGAGAGGGAGAGGGAGAGGGAGAGGGAAGGAGTGAGAAAGGGAGGGGAAAAGGAGGGCTCTATGAGAGCCAGGCGTACTACTTTTGATATTAATTTCTGCTATGAGAGCGCCACCTACTGTCTGGTTTTAGAATGTAATGCTAAGGTTGGTTCAAGTCCTCATCTTGAAAAATGAAACAAAAACATTGGCCTCTGGCCTCTGCACATGCACACAAGGATATGCACACCCACACACATGCATATAAACCCCTCCCTCTCTCCCTCTCTCCCTCTCTCACATATACACACACCCTTGCAGTTATACACTGCACTTGAATAATTCAATGTCAAAGCATAAAAACCATTTTTTTTGTTTTACTTTTTAAAATAAATGTAAAATATATACACTGTGGAGAGAGAATCACTGTCACAGAGTGTGGATGATGGTTCGGCTTCTAAGTTGCTGAATATACTCCTTGGCATGATCAATTGTTGTCTTGGGTGCTTCAGGTGGGGGTGGGGGTCCTTCCACCAGCTTCACAAAATAGTGGCAATAGACCTTCTCCATGATTCCAAAGCGACCTCGGCCATGGTAACGGAGGCGCTTCAGGCACTGGCCCCGACCTGAGGTAGACTCAGCTACAGAAGAAAAGAGAGAATTATGGCACATGTCTACTGTCCATTGGACTACATCTGCACTGGCGAGCAAGTCGTGATCCATCTTTCACTAGATCCTAAGAAGACAGGAGCTTGCTGGTTAGCTAGAACACATTCCATCTCAACCATAAGTCTCTTAGCACACAGTTTATGTTGCAAGAAGACAGAAAATATGGTAACACCTTCAACTATCAAATCTGACCAACACGGTAGAGACTGTTAGGACGGTGGAGGCATCTCTGAAACTAGGCACGGTGTTGGTGGTGCCTGTAATCCAGGAAGCAAAGGCAGAAAGATCAGGATTTCAAGGTCATCCTTAGCTATATTAGCAAGTACATGGCCAGTCTTTTGTTTTGTTTTGTTTTTTCGAGACAAGGTTTCTCTGTGTAGCCCTGGCTGTCCTGGAACTCACTCTGTAGATCAGGCTGGCTTTGAATTCAGAGATCTGCCTGCTTCTGCCTCCTGAAAGCACCACCATACCCGGCTATTGAGGCCAGTCCTAAATAGAAGAGGTAACCCAAGGAGAAACTTGACCTGAGACCAGAATCACCCTGCATCCCTGTTCCTGTTAGAGGGCAGTAAACACATCCTGATAACAAGCACACTCAGCTTGTTTGAGAAGACAACAGGGGCACACTGACACTATGTGTAAGAGGCACACAGAGGAAATAAGAGGCAAGCAAGGGGTACTGACTGCTTGCTGACTCTAAGTCCTTTGTGTGTGTCCTTAGGAGTGCTGGGGCTGCACCATGTGGTCGGTCTGCTTTTAGTGTCTGGAGTTCTGCATACTGATTTCCCTAGTGGCTGCACTAGTTTATATTCCCACTGCCCCCACTAGCTGAGGATGTTGAGTCTTTGTTCAGTAGTTTATATTTGTCTCTGTGTAATTCATTTGCCTGTTCATTGATTGGATGGTTTGGTTGGATGGTTTGGTGGTTTTGATCTGTCTGCCTCTCTTTTATAGATCAGCAGGTCTTTCACCCTGATGACTCAGTCACTTGTGGCAGAGGCACATTATAAAAAGATCCTTTAAGTTTACACACAATCCTATTCACATCCTTCCACCCGACAATTCATCTATCTTTCCTCCTCCCCACAACAACCCCCACCCTGAGAGAGTCTCTCTGTGAAGCTCTAGCTGTCATGGAAATCACCATGTAGACCAGACTGTACTTGAACTCAGAGAGCCACCTGCCTCAGCCTCCTGGGTACTGGTCCTAAAGATGTGTGCACTGTGACCAACAATTAATCCACCTTTTAGATGATCTGTGGTCATTCTCAGTTTTATTGTGGCTAAAGGGTGGCAGCATGAGACAGTCCTAAAACCCTTGTGTAATAAGCACGGGTGAGTCCATGGCCTCAGTCCCATTCAGAACAGCTGCTTGAAGCTAGCACATCTATCAATCATGACAGATTAACACTGAGGTACTCAGGGCTAAAGAAAGTCCTTACCAGAACAGGTAATTGGCCTAAGTGTTCAGACACCAAAGACCATTTGCAACAAATTAGGCATCAAGTGAAAGACATCTCTGGTGCTGATGATAGAAAGTCTTACCTACGTATAAGTTGGATCTGAACTCCACATTGTGTTCTCTCACTGCCATGTCTTGTGCTTCTAAGAGTACCTTAAACAACAAGAAAGGCCTGCTCAGATAGCTGATTCTGAACTAAAGTGGAATTAAACATCTCATCTCTTGTTATGTCTAAAATGTGTGTAATCAAACATTTACAACAAACAATGAACTTTTATTTATTTATTGGTGGGTTTTGTTTCTTTTTTCTTTCTTTCTTTTTTTTTTTGTTTTTTGTTTTTTGTTTTTTTTTTTTTTTTTTTTTTGTTGTTGTTGTTGTTGTTTTAGGCAAGAGCTCACTTTGTAGCTCTGGCCTGCCTCTGCCTCCAAGTGCTGGAATTAAAGGCATGTGCCACCATTCCCAGCCACAGTGAACTTTTTACAGGCACCAAATGCAGGTTGTACCAAGGAACAGGAACAGTGAGCATCCATTCCTCAGAACTAAGGTAGGGCCCACCACCCTGCTGAGCCATGGAAGCTCTGGAAGGGAAAGACAGAGAGCCCACACCCAGGACACACCATCAGAATGAACATTGAATCTGAGTAAGGTACTCAGCCTTCTAAAAAGGGAACAGCCATGTGCCCAACACGTTAGTACTATGCTCAGCAAAGTGTTGGAGACTCTAGGGCCCACCTAAGTACAAATACAAACCGATGACTATAGGGGAAGCATCAGAGATGACAAGCTTCCGAGTCTCCTGAGTGGCCCTTCCATCAGGACTTCTTGTGAAAAACAAAAACCATACCAAGTCTGGGCTGCAAGTGCACTTTAGTGGTAGGGTGCATCCCTAGTGTATGCTAGGCCCTGAGTTTAATATTTGGTACCACTCCAAAATAAGGCCCAAGTCATTAATCATTTCATCAACAACAAAAAAGTGTCTGGTACATATAGAGGCATCTGAGGAAAATTGCATGCAAAGCATCTATTTCTCAGGAATAAGGGACTTAAGAAAAGCAGGAGCCCTGAGCCTGTATCTAATAAAAAAATACACTTACACCACCTATCTTAGGAATCCAGGATTTAGACTAAAGATCCCTCCCAACCACCAAGTCTTACCTCTTTAATTATTTGAGCCCCCTTTTTATCATTGAACTCCAACTGAGCCAAAGCCTGATCGATAGACATGCCTCGTATCTAAAGGGGGATAGGTGAATGAACAAACTCCTTCTCAAAAGCAATGTTCCCTTTCGATGACAGTAAGAACCTTATACCCAAACAAAATAGAAAAAAGGTTTGAAAGGGATCCTATCATTTAGTTAAATCAAATTTACATGCTACAAGCACAAAACTACATTTTTATGTATAACACTTTCAGAACTATTAAGGCAGACATGACTGAGAAACAAGTTGATGCCAACCACACTCATCCTAACGGGATAAATGGTTCTGGATTGCTGTATTTCTCTCTCCTCCTCATCAAGGAAAAAACCCAAGAACCAACAGTGCCATGATGTTAACCCTGTTTGTACAGGTGAGCAAGCATGTGTCCTGGGTCCTCTGGCTAAAGACTATTCTCATGGGAGATATGGTTCTGTATGCTGTGAATATATGCTTTTCTTATTGGTTGATACATAAAGCTATTTCAGCCAATGGACAGAAGGATTTAGCCAGGCAGGAACTCCAAACGGGATAAAAAAAGGCAGTAGGCAGAGTCAGGGAGACCCCATGTAGCTACCAGGACACCCAGGCATTCTCCGGTAAGCCAAGACCCCATGGAGCTACATAGATAAATAGAAATGGGTTAATAATTAAGAGAGAGCTAGCCAATAAGAAGCCTGAGCCATCAAACAGCTAATAATTAATATCAGCCTTTGTGTGTTTATTGTTTTTGTTTTGTTTTTTGAGACAGGGCTTTGGAGGCTGTCCTGGAACTCACTCAGTAGACCAGACTGGTCTCTAACTCACAGAGATCTGCCTGCCTCTGCCTCCTGAAAGCTGGAACTAAAAGCAAGCGCCACCACTGCCCAGATCCTTTGTGTGTTTATTTGGGACTAAACAGTTACAGGACTGGGCAGGACAGACACTTCTGTTTACACTATTTTGCTGCTCTGGTTTCAGTGTCTATTTCCACTGAACACACAATGACACTCCCTACTCTTTGGGAAAATTGGGATAATAATCCTCATGTTCAAGTCTTCAGAGGGAACACAGAGCTTCTTTTCCTGGGTATCACATGGAAGTAGTCATGTTAACTTACCAATTTTGCCAGATACCACATCTTGTCCTTGCTGTATTTTATTTGTCTCCTACAATGGTAAATTTCCTTGCAAGTAAGAAAAAAAGAAAAAAACATGTTGTAGGTTTATCAAAGTGACAGTGACATAACTATTAGTTCCCATACTCCATGCCCAATGACAACATTGTTGTCACAGGGAATAAAACACTACAAAGACTCTAGAGATTCTTCTTTTTAAACAAAATTTGCTTTTTCTCCAAGCCTCATTATGTTAAAAGACTAGTAAGGAAGAAACAGAAACTGTAACTCTTTAACCAAGTAACTATTAACAATTCACAATTTTTAGTAAGTTGAGTGGAGAAAGGAGTCACTTTATAATTCTTTTATAAACTAAAACTGACAAACCAAGTGGTTTGCTCAAGACCTGAAAGTCTGTAAGCTGAGGGGAAAGCCAGGCATGGGAAGAATCCAAGTCCAGCGTGGCTGCCTCTTGAGGTGGTGTGAATGAAAATGCCCCCATAGACTCATAGGCAGTGGCATAATTTCAAAAGATTAGGATGTATGGGCTTGTTGGAGTAGGTGTGGCCTTGTAGGAAGAAGTGTCATTGGGTTTCAGAAACTCAAGCCAGGCCTAGTGGCTTTATCTCTTTTTGGTGCCTGCCCATCCATATGTAGAACTCTCAGCTATCCCTCCAGCACCGTCAGCCCGTGTGCCACCATGCTTCCCCCATGACCTTAACGGACTGAACCTCTGAACTGTAAGCCAGTCACAGTTAAATGTTTTCCTTTGTAAGAGCTTCCATGGCCATGGTGTCTCTTCACAGCAGTAAAAACACCAAGACACCCCGAAATGTTCCCAAAGACTCTAAAGTTCACCTCCTTCCAACTATTAGCCCTATTACCACTTAAAAAAAAATTTTAATTACATATTTTTAACTATTTTTTAAAATTAGATGGCTGGAGTTGTGACTCAGTTGTTAGAATGTTTGCCTAGTCTTGGGTTTGAGTCCCGAAACTGCTTACACTGATGTGGTAATGCTCATGTGTAATTTCTAAACTTTTTAGCAGATGTATATGCTGGAAGCTGCTTTACATCTCAGACTAGAATAATCTCTGGTAGTTGGGCATATGTAAAATAATAATTTTATTACTGAGCAGCTAAAAGTAAGATACATCTTTGGTAGGCATCCAATGACTCAATATAAACCTGAGGTTCAACGGTTTGTATATTACAAAAAGAAAAAAAACAATAATTGTACCTATATTCCAATAGACAATGAATAAGGCAACATGTGCCAACCCATCATGTTTCACTATCAATAATTTAGCAGCGAGGTATAATGTTGCACAACTTTAATTTCAGCATCCAGGATGAAGAGGCAGGCAGATCTCTGTGGGTTTGAGTCCAACCTGAACTACACAGTAAGAATAGCCAGGGTTACATAGACTCTGTTTCCCGCCCCCCCCCACACCCCTCCAAAAAATGTCACCAAAAAGCCCCAGGCAGTGAAAAATCAGCATCTCAAGCCCTTAGTGAGGCTCAGAAGACTGAGTAAGGGCAAGCAAATAAGCAACAGCACTGGCAATCTAAGATACAGAGGCAATCTGGTCCACTTAAGTCAATTAATTAGAACATGGAAATTATTGCACAATTTCCCTTTAACATTAAAAAAAAAAAAAACCTCATTCTGGACACAAAAGAACACAAGTACTGGTCAGGCACGGCACAGTGGCACACGCCTTTAATTCCAGCACTTGGGAGACAGAGACAGGAAGATTTCTATGAGTTCAAAGCCAGCCTGGGCTAAGTTTTGAATTCAGTATTAGCCTATACTGGCTAAGAACTGACTCAAAAGAAAGAAAAAACTTAAGAGATTACTTCTACCCATAAACTTACTGCTGGTCTCCGAGGTTCACCAGGCAGTTGTGGTGGGTAAACAATATTATTCTTCTTTTCCCATCTTCGAGAAACATCAAGAGAAGCACTTGTGTGGACACATGATTGGGGTAAAACTCTGAAAGGAGAGAAGTCTGTAAGAATCGAAACTTGGAACTTTCCTGGAGTTTTGGAAGCCACATGACCACCATCTGGGCAACTTCAGGCTCACAACTGTAAGTTTTTTAACTGGAGACTAAGATGAGGTCTGGAAGCTTGTGTGAGCCAAAATGGCGAGCAGGTATTAACCCACACTCTTTGCCCTGACGAGTGAATGCCAACAATTTAGTCCTAAAAAGGACTGAAGGAAGATATAACAGATTTACTCCTTGTTTGACCTGTGGAGTCACCTAACTTTGCTAAATATGCAAGACAAATAAATGAAACAACTAGAAAACAATATAAAACTAAAGCACAGGAAAGACAGCAGAGGACTTCACAGAGTGGCTTCAGGTAACTTTTTTTTGGTGGTGGTGGGGAGCGGGTATTTGAGACATGGTCTCACTATGTGGACCAGGCTGACCTTGAACTCACAGAAATCCACCTAAAAACTGGGATTAAACATGCTGGGATTGCACATGCAAAAAGATAATTCTTAAATAATATTCACCTAGCAGAAATGGAGACTCTGACTTCCACAGGTGGTAAAGGCTTTTATCACCTGTGCAAAGGACAGATCTGAGAACAGCAGAGATCTGATGCAATCACTAAATGTCAAGTATTAAAAACCAGGCAGTGGTGGCACATGCCTTTGATCCCAGCACTCTGGAGGCAGAGGCAGGTGAGCCTCCATGAGTTCAAGGCCAGCCTGGTCTACAAAGCAAATTCTAAGACAGCCAGAGCTACACAGAGAAACACTGTCTGGGGAGTGGGGGGAACAACCACCATCAGAGAGGTTTGGATTGCAAATTGAGGGTGCAAAAGACTTCTGTTAATGCTGATTAGCAGATTGGAATTCGGTGAAAACTTTAAATTCCATGGCCTGAACACCCCAAATGTCCATTCTTCCTCCTGTCTTCCCCAGTAGCAGCCACTCCTCCATATCACTCAATAAACCCTTCTTGGAAAGCAGTGTCCTGGAGAGCATCTTCAACTTCCCTGCCAGGACCAGTCACCAAGTCTTACTGACGTGACCAAGAACTGTCTCTCAAATCTTGGTTTATTGGCTCCTAGATAGAGGTTCTTGTCCATGGTTTTTGGCCCTATTACTATAGACCTAGGATGGCCTACATGTTAAAGCAAGAATGTATGGCAAGGATGTAGAGGATATTCTTGCTGCAGGATCGTGAGAAAGCAGAGGAAGGAAAGGTATCTTCAAAGCCATGGCCCCAGGTGACCTAACTTCTTTCTACTCAGACCCATTCTGAAAGGTCCAGCCACCCCGCAATAGCCCTAACAGATGGGCTTTCTGGATCATTCAAGATACACAGCAATGCAATAAATAGGTAAGTGAAAATAAATAATCAGGAATCTTTTCCAAAATGTCTAAATCTACCCCCAGTTTGCTACAGATGCAATGCTGCAACCACCAAAATGCAGGACTACTGTCTTCTACTACATCAGTCCCTCTGGGATCATTGTTCTCCCATCACTTCACCAGTTTCAAACGCTATTCCTTTGTTTTTCAAGACAGTTTCTGTGTAGCTCTGGTTGTCCTGGAACTCACTATGTAGACCAGGCTGGCCTAGAACTCAGAAATCTGCCTGCCTTTGCCTCCCAAGTCTTGGGATTAAAGCCATGCACCACTACGGCCTGGCTTCAACCACTCTTTCTATGCCTGCACACCACAGGGAAGTCCTTCTGTAACAAGAATGTTCATGCTGCCAGGCAGTGATCGTATACACCTTTAATCCCAGCACTCAGGAGACAGAGGCAGATGGATCTCTGTGAGTTTGAAGCCAGCCTGGTCTACAGAGCTAATTCCAGGAGAGCAAGGGCTGTACACAGAGAAATCCTGTCTCAAAAAAAAAAAAAAAAAAAAAAAAAAAAAAAAAGGTAACTGTTTTACTAGTAGAGTCAGGGTCTCTCTATGTAGTCTTGGCTGTCTTGGACTTCTCTACAGACTAGGCTGGCCTCGAACTCATAGACATCCACCTGTCTCTGCCTCCTGAGTGACAGAATTAAAAGTATTCATCACCAAGCCTTGGGTTTTTTTTTTTCTTTGTTAGTTTGTTTTGTTTTGTTTTGGCTTTTTGAGACAGGGTTTCTGTATATATCAGCCCTGGAACTCGATTTGTAGCCCATGCTAGCCCTGAGCTCAGACATTCACCTGCCTCTGCCTCCTGAGTACTGGTATTAAAGGCATGCACTACCACAACTGACCCAGTTTATTATTTATATAACATAAACACTTACTTTTATTGTATGTGTATTTTGTGTATGTATGTGTGCAACCATAGACATGCAGTACCCTTGGAGGCCAAAAGAGATCACCAGATATGCTGGAATTGGAGTTACAGACAGTTGTTATCCAACATGTGATACTGGGAATTAGAACCAGGTCCTCTGGAAGAGCAGCCACCCCTGAACTGCTGAGCCATCCCTCCAGCCCCTATGACTGTATCTTTCTATTCTATCTCTTCCCCAGTGTCACTGACAACCAAGAGTCTTGGTGTGGCAGCCAGCAGTTACCTATATAAAAAGATTGAGTTGGGCAGTGGTGGCATAGGCCTTTAATCCCAGCAATCATGAGGCAGAGGCAGGTGGATCTCTGTGAGTTCAAGGCCAGCTAACAGTACAGAGTAGTTTCTAGGTCAGTCTCAAAAAACAAACCAACCAACCAAAAACCAAATCAAAAACAAACAAACAAAAAAAAAAGAGGATTGAAATTTCCCATAGTAAATGACCCACCTGGAAGCCATGAGCACTCTAATACCCAGACTATGTTCTTGAATATCAAAAGAATCAAACCTCTGGAGGAAGAGGCTGGTCACAAGATCCTAAGCAGAAAGTATGCAAGACATGTAGCATATGTAATACAAACCCAGAGACAGATATTGGGGCTCAAGCTGAAGATCAGAAAAGCAAAGCAGCCAAATCAGAGAGCTCTTATTTCTACCAAGGCTGGGGCAATCCTGTGCTCAAGGTGGCTAGAGACTAATTCCCCAAGACTGAACACCAGCTCTGTGACCTTGCTCCTGTCCTATATACCTCTCTAATGCTGGGATTAAAGGTATGAGCTCTGTTCCTGTTTTAGACTGATTCACTCTCATGTAGCCCTTGGGTGGCCTTGAACTCACGGAGATCCATCTGTCTCTGTCCCCTAAGTACTGGGATTAAAGGTGTGTGCCACCACTGCCTGGCATCTATGGCTGTAGCTAGCTTTGCATTCTGATCTCCATAATATATCACAATTCCCTTTTTCTGTCTAATAGAAAAGAAGGTCATAACCAGTATAAGAAAACTCATGTATAATAACTATATACAATATATACAAACAATAAATACTCAACAATGTCTAGTTCATTTGCATTTAACTAATTCAGAGAAAATATTCCACTATCTATCCTAACTTGGTGAGTTCAAAGTCTTGTTCCTAATTTCTGTTCTAGTCTAATTTGCATTATCAAATTATCTTTTAATGTCTCTCAGACTTTTACACTTTACACCTCTTCAGTGAGTTTCTTTCCTGAGTCTGGTAAATGAGGAAAACTATAACTATACTATCTAGTCTTCAACTCCCTCAAAGACCCAAGAAGGAAGTAATATTAACTGAGTAAGCCGGTAGTATGAGCAAGTGACTTCCAAAAAAAGTGAGAAATGACAGTATGCAAGGCAGGTAAAACCTAGTTTGCCAAAAAGAAAAAAAAAAAAAAAAAAAAAAAAGAAAAGAAAAGAGAAATAGTTTGCCAGATCAGAGACCGAGCAAACTAGCCGAGACCACAGACATGAAAGGGACCTGGGAGTCACAGGCCAAAATGGGACAACCCTAGCATAAGTAAAAGTAATGCCATCAGGGAACTGAAACCATCAAATATATTTAAAGCCATAATGAAACAGAGCAAATGCTAGTAAAATGCTTAACCTAATTCATAGAATTCAGTAAACTTCAGATATAATTTTATATAGTACAAGAGTAAAATGAACTTCATTCTGTTATTGGATGACTAATTAATGCACCATACCAGACAGTATCTAACACAGCAGTGGGCTGATAGCCAGTAGAATTGAAAATGAGGCCCATCAGTTATCTGTTCTGTCTCCCCTCCAAATATGCCTGTGATCTCTAGACCTTATAGAACCCAGCTTCAAAGTTCCTTAAACTTCAAAGTTCATTAAAAATCCGTGGGTACATTGTCACTTCTTTGGGCTTGGTTTTCATATGTATAAGAAAGAAGAGTGTGATTATGTCTCTAAGGCCTCTGACATTTTTTAATATCATCACTCACAACAGGATGACAGAACCATGAACTACTTAGCTCTGACTTCAATCCTTCTTCTAAGCAGCCACTATGATAAACTATGAAACAAGATTTCTTCAGAGAGAGGTACATATCTTCTGACATCCCTTCATGCAGAAGGGCCTTCCATTTCTCAAATCCTCAACACAGATTTGGCAAATTAAATATAATGCTTGGTAAATTAAGTATGTCATGAATTAATAAATGGCAAAGTTTTGTGAATACTTAACAACATTCTCAAGATTCAAGAGGATCTTCAACTGCATCAAGTACCAAACTACCATTAAATGAAAATATTACTCTAAACAAGGCAATTAAGGTACAAGTACTATATATGCAATCAAAACTTCCTAAGTACCCTATGGCTCCACACCAGTGCTAACTCAACTACATTCCAAACAAAGAACGTTTGTTTGTCTCCTGCTATAGTTGTTGCACGGCCTGAGATTCCAACCTATGACTGGGAGGTGGAGGCCAGCCTGACCTAAGCAGACTCACAAACAAACAAAAATAAATTAAAAAGCTTCTCTCGGGAGGCTCTGGAACGTTCTGCAGAGCAAAAGATTCAAAACTCCATTTGCCTGAGGCGCAGACAACACGGAGGGCGCCTTCAGTACAATGTCAGGCAAACCTCTAGTCTCCAAACGGTCCTTGCCCACATAAGTAATCACAGATGCAAGGAGGATGTTTGCTGGTATGCCACACGACGTGGAAGAGTTGAATCGTGGCCATAAAATAGGAAGAGACTGTTCAGAAAACACTTAGGAGCCCTCGGGGCAACAGTCCTCACATGGTTACAAAGTACAGTCTCGGGCCGTGCAGCCCTCTCACCCGAGGCCTAAAGCACAAGCGCCGGGTCAGGGATGAGGAGCGGCGCGGCCTGAGCCGCTACAATCTCCGGGGCGGAAGACTTACCGCAGCGTCTGCGTTGCCCAGATCCTCAGGTTAGGTACCCACAGTGCACCTGCAACATGAATACGAGCTGTCAACTCTGATTCTCACTGTCCCCCCCAGTCCCCAAGTTCTAGGAAAGCCTTAATTAAGACTTACACAACTCTCGAACCACTGCAGCAGCCATGTCGGGCTCTACGGAAGCCCCGGAGTTCAAACAACCGCTGACTTCACGCATGCGCAGTCCGGGGCCAGCCACAAACCGGAAATTCTGAATACGTTGTCATGGAGACCTAGAATACATAGTCCAGGAACTGATCAGACCAGCCTTGCTTTAAAGTGAATGACCTCATAAAGACAGAAAAATCAGTGGATTTCCGGAAATTCACCTGGATTCAGAAAAATTGTGATCTCACCAATAAGCAGCCTGAAAGAGTAAGGGGCCCTGTTAATTCCAAAGATACAAGGAGAAAGATCACAAACCCAAAATCATCATGGCCAAATTAATTATGCAATTAATTGCCAGGCAGCGGTGGCGCACACCTTTAATCCCAGCACTGGGAAGGCAGAGCCAGGCAGATCTCAGTGAGTTCCAGGCCAGCCTGGTGTACAGAGTGAGTTCCAACTGCAGAAACCCTTCCTGATTCATTTTATTTATTTTAACAGGCTCTCACAGTATAGCCCAGGCTGCCTGGCCTGAATCACTCACAACAATCCTCCTGCCTCAGCTTCCCAAGAGTTGGGATTTACGCCAGAACTCCGATTCATTCTTTTAGTATTTAGTTAAATACATTGTTTTTGTTTTTCGAGACAGGGTTTTTCTGTGTAGTTTTGGAGCCTGTCCTGAAATACATCGTTGCAACAGTCAAAGAAACCTTTCTTTGGAAGGAAAAAAAAAAAAAAAAAAAAAAAACAACCCACCTCCCAAAACTAACAAAGTACGCCACTACATGTCTTTAAAAAAAAAGAAAGAAATACTGGATTGAGGTACTGAACTGCCCAGAAGACTAAATCGCAGGGGCTGGTTGGCTGGTTCCACCGGTCTAATCCCTTAATTAAGAAAAATGCTTAACCTCGGGGCCCTGAATTCAGTCCCGGGAGGCGCACGCGAGCAGAGAGCGAGCGTCAGCGCGGCTTGGACCCCGGCGCGCTCCGTAGCGCCCGCCTTCAGGGGCGGGGTTCAACTTGGTCCCGCCCCCTCCAGCTACACGCCGCGGTTGCGAACCACACCACCGGAGCTGCTCGCCTGAGCTTCGGCGTCCGCGGAGATGAAACCAGAGCCGCGGACGCTGCCGCCGTCCCCTAACTGGTACTGCGCGCGCTGCAGCGACGCGGCGCCTGGAGGCATCTTTGGCTTCGCTGCGCGGACCTCCGTCTTCCTCGTCCGCGTGGGCCCGGGCGCCGGCGCGAGCCCAGGGGCGCCCCCGTTTCGAGGTCAGCCCCCGACGGGCCGGCGCAGTCCTTTCCGCCTTGCTCTCTGGAGGGGGGGGGGGTTGTAGGTCGCCGGCTTGTATCACGGTCGCACGTGGGACCATTACGCTCAGAGGGGCAGTCCTAGGCTAGATCCGGCGTTTACCGCTCTCCTGGCCTTCCTCGCCAAGGCCCCGCCGGCCCCTAGGATGCCCCCCTGGGGTGGGGGCTATTCTCGGTTCCCTGATGCTGATTTGTGTAGGATGAGTGGGGTGAGTATGAATTTGCCCCAGATGCGATGATGCTTGTCTGTGATCCCACTACTCTGTGGAGGCTGAGACTGAAGGATTGCCGCGTGTTCAAAGCCAGCCTAGTCTACAAAAGTGAATTCCGGGCCATCCAGGGCTCCATAGCAAGATGCTTACTCAAAAGAAAATGAAGCAAAGAAAACCAGGGTTTGGTTATGCGTTGTGTTACGAAATACCAGTTTATTCTATTCCTTATGACCAATGGCGGCAAGAGTAAGTAAAAATGGCTTTCACGTTCCACCTGTGGACTAAGACTAGCTCAGCCCTGGTCCAACAAAGGACGTGAATATTACTTTATAGATGAGAATACTGAGGTTCAAAGAAAATGCACCTGTGTGAGGTCCCCAGGATACTGGCACCTGCCATTTCTGTTGTGAGTCTATGGATGGTTTTGGTCTACTGTGTTGACTCCCGTTCATCTGCTTGTTCATCCAGCAGCATGTTGTCTGGTTGTCTGGAGTCTAGTTTAGTTAAACAAGTCTGGTTTTACTTGCAGTTGTAGGAGAGTTGGTGGGACACACTGAGAGAGTATCTGGCTTCACTTTTTCTCATCACCCTGGACAATACAACCTCTGTGCCACCAGCTCAGATGATGGGACTGTGAAAATCTGGAATGTAGAGACCAAGGCAGTGGTGACAGAGCACTCACTCCATCAGGTAACGTTTATCCTGAGCCCTCTGAGTGTTTTAATGTGTCTCATCCTTGTGAAGGAATGTGTTCATTAGTCAGATATGTCCGAAGGTCTTCCAAAACCTTTTAAGTTGCATATACTTATCTATCAATTAATTTATTTTAGAGAGCAGAGTTTAAGGTAGGGAATGTAACTCAGTAGAGTGCTTGCCTAGCATACACAAAACCATTGGCTCAACCCCTAGAACTATATAAACAGGCAGAGTGGTGCACACCTATAATCCTAGCACTTGGGAAATGGAGGCATTTCAAGGTCAGCCTGATCTACAGGCAATCCAGTCGAGAGAGAGGTAGGGGGGAGAGGGGAGAGACAGACCACAAGTTAACTATGCACCTATTTATGAAAGTAATACTAAAGTGTGGCTTCATGTAGTCACTAAGTCTTTTATGTATTTTGGTAGTTTTTCTTTGTGAGCTACCATGTAAGTTCTAGAAATCAAACCTCTGGAAGAGCATCTAGTAACCTTAACCACTGAGCCATCTTTCTAGCCCTTGGTCACTAATTCTTATCTATGGCTGCTTCCATGATACAGCAACAAAGTTGAGGAATGGTGACAGTGTGACTTACAAAATCTAACAGTCAATAAGTTTATATAAAATAAATACCTGGGCAGATAAGATGGCCTTCCAGGTCAAAGTGCTTGTCGTGTAAGCCTGATGACCTGAGTTTTGATATTTTGTATGTGTATGAGTGTTCTGCCTGTGTGCCTGGTGTGTGTGTCCAGAAGGCCAGGCATGGTGGTGCATGGCTGCATTCCTAGTATTCAAGGGAGAGGATCTCTCTGAGTTCCAGGCCATCCTGGACTACAGAGTGAGACTGTGTCTCAAAACCACGCAAAAAGTTTTCACTTCATATTGAATATATTACTATACAGGGAGTTATAGCACATTTCTTAAGTTCCTATAATGTGCCTAATAATAGGCTGGTTTATAGTACATTGACAGATGAGACTCATCTGGCTTTGCTTTGTTTGAAGCACACAATATCAGCTCTTCATTGGTCTCCGACGGTTAAGGACTTGATAGTCTCTGGGGATGAAAAAGGAGTTGTTTTCTGTTACTGGCTTAACAGAAATGACAGCCAGCACATCTTCACGGAACCCAGGACCATTTTCTGTCTTACTTGTTCGCCTCATCATGAAGATTTAGTAGCCATTGGGTGAGTACCAAGTACTGTGCTATTTGTTGATGATTTGGTTTAATGTACGGTCCTGCTTTTCATTCTCCTTGCCTTATACACCTCAGTCCTCAGAGGAAGCTTGCAACCCTGGTGTCATGTGATCTGTAGGTTCACACTTTTCTCCACTTTCCTGTTACCATGATATTTTGCTTTCTTCCCTCTTTCCAACTAATTGTTCCAGTCACCCTCCAAATATTCGTAGTGTGTTCTTTCTCTCTTGGCTTATGCTATCCTTGGATGTGGCATTAACTCCAGAGCATCAAATGACTCTACTCTGGGTCTGGCACCATGTACCTGAACTAGGGATACATGTATCCTTGTGGTGATGTATTATTTGTGATTTATTAAAGCTTGTCTAAGGATTCAGAAAGCAAAACCAGCCTCAAGCTATAGAGAGCAGGCAGTGGTGATACATATCTTTAATCCCAGGACTCAGGATTAAGAAGTAGATGGATCCCTGTTAGTTCAAGACCACACTGACTACACAAAATTGATCCAGTCCTAAAACAGCTCACACAAAGGTGATCTCAGCTCCTGGGGATCACACACCTTTAATCCCAGCATTAGGAAAGTATATAAGATAACAGTAGGGTCTCAGTGCTGTCATTCAGTCTGAGAGTTAGTCTCTAGCCACATTGAGGCAAGCAAAGCAATCTGAGTGAATGTGAGGAGCAGTGAGAGAGGTAAGAAGTAGTGGCCAGATGTTTTGTTTTTCTGATCTTCTTCTTGAAGCTTGAACCCCAATATTTGTCTCTGGATCTTTTATTTGTTGTGCTATATATCCTAACATGTTCCTCACAAACAGGACAGATAAAGAGAGCCAGCTTCATGATATCATTTATGGAGCATTTGGGTGTAGAAAATAAAGTTGTGTCTTACTTGGGAATATTTATGAAGATAGGCTAGGGATGCTAGATCGCAAATTAGAAACAAAGCAAAGCAGAAATTCGGTGGTGGTGGGTCATATAAGCTGTTTTGGTGGTTAATTTTTTTTTTCTTAAGCTAGGTAGTAGATACTTTAAAAGGGTCCTAATAGTGACCCTTTAGTACAGTTCCTCGTGTGTTGTGGTGGCCCCCCAACCATAAAATTTTTTTTGTTGCTACTTCATAATTAATTTTGCTACTGTTATGAATCATGTAATATCTGTTTTCTGATAGTCTTGAGCTACCCTGTGAAAGGGTCATAAAGGGTCATGATTCACAGATTGAGAATCGCTAGTTCAAGGTTTGGTGTTTGGTTGGTTTTTGTGAGTGTGTGTTTGTATGTTTGTTTTTAACATGTGTGGATCTTTTACCTGTTTATGTTTGTGCACCAAGTGCTTGCAGTGCCCAAGGAGACCAGAAGAGGGTGTCAGATCCTCATAAAAGGTGTGAGCCGCCTTGGATGCTACAACTTTAGATCCTCTGGAAGAGCAGCCTATTCTCTTAACTGCTGAGCTGTTTCTCTAGTTGATATGTTTTAATGTGTCCATAATAATTCACTTTATAAAAAGCTATTAGAATTTCTCAGTTTGTTCTCAATTCATAGATTGATATTTAGGACAAATATAGCTCTAGGGTACAGTGTGTCTTAGGGTTTCTGTTGGTGTGAAGAGACACTGTGACCACCACAACTCTTAGAAAACATTTAATTTTATCTGGCTTACAGTTCAGAGGTGTAGTCCATTATCCTCATGGCAAGAAGCAGGCAGACATGGTGTTGGAGAAGGATCTGAGTGCAACATCTTGATCTAGAAGCAACAGGAAGAGTCTACCACATAGGGTGTGGCTTGAGCATCTGAGATCTCAAAGCCTACCCTCCTTCCCCCAGTGACATACTTCCTCCACCAAGGCCATATATCTATTCCAACAAGGCCATAGCTCCTAATAGTGCCATTTGTAATGGGCCAAGCATTAAAACAGTCTATGGGGGCCATTTCTATTCAGACTATCACACAATGTAACAGTTCTTGTTAGGTTTGTAGTTGGAAAGTAGTATCAATTATGGAGCTAAAGATGTAGCTCCTTTGGTAGACTTTGTCTAACACATATACCAAAGTCCTGGGTTCAGTCCCCAGTACTGCATTAAGCAAATATGTTGGCTATTGCCTGATCTCAGCACTTGGGAGGTGAATGCTCATAGTGGGTTTGTGGCCAGTATGGGATGCATGAGGCTGTTTCAAAAAAAGAAAAGTTAATTAACTAGCTGTCTTTATTTTTTAGTAACATTTTTAAATAATTTGTTTCTACTTTCAGGGCAGCAGCAATACAGACAACTGTAAATCTAAAGGGTACTGGGTGGAAGGTGTGGAAAAGGGGGAAAATCATGACTTTTTAGTTAAGCCCTGGAGGTTTGCAAACAGCTGTAAAAGGAGGTGGGGCATGGTGGGAAGGGACTCTTCAAAGAAAAGAGTAGAATCTAGAGTTTCAGGTCAAGCCCACATACGATTTAAACTAGTATATGAAGAAACAAAAAGGAAGAAAAGGCAAAGTTATGCTGCTTGAGTTGGAGCTCAGAAAGGTGAGAGACTTAGCAGTGCTAATTCCTCTAACTTATTTTTCAGCTACAAGGATGGTATAGTGATTATCATTGATATCAGTAAAAAGGGAGAAGTCATTCATAGGCTTCGAGGTCACGATGATGAAATCCACTCCATAGCCTGGTGTCCTCTATTTGGTGAAGACTGCTTATCCATAAACCAAGAGGAAAACTCTGGTAAGTCGATTGAAGGAGGTTCTGTTCTCCTTAGACATAAAGAACTAAGTGTAGAATTGCAACTTCTAAATTATACGTAAAACTTGTGTCTCACGGATCAGACTAGGAAAGGGAGAGCTGAGTTTTGGGAAGTAACTTTTTTTTTTTTTTAATCACAAGTGCTTGTTCAATGTAAATTAAAAATAAAATTGTTATCTCTTTACTAGAAGAACCTGACATTCCCAATGGGAAACTTATAGCAGAAACCCCCATCACAAAAGGCTGCTACTTAGCCACAGGAAGCAAGGATCAGACCATTCGAATCTGGAGCTGTTCCCGAGGTCGGGGTAAGGTTGATCCCTAGGGTTTGTTGTACTATTATTTCTGTGGTGAAATAACCACAACAAACCAACTTGGAGGGAGTATTGGAGGGAGTAAGAGTGAATTAAGATTGATTTCCTTTTGTTTTATGTGTTTGGGTATTTTGTATACCCCAAGGATGGTGGCATCCATTTGTAGACTGTCCTAGCTTTGTTTCTGATGCTTTAATAAAACACAGACCAAAAGTAACTTAGGGAAGGAAAGGTTTTATTTCAGCTTATAGTTTGCAGTCTGTCATCGAGGGAAGTCAAGGAGGAACTTGAAGCAGAAACCATCTGATGGTGGCTCACTCCCTGGCTTACGCTTAACTAGCTTTCTTGTACAGCCTGGGACCACCTACCCAAGGATTCATCCCGTAGTGGGCTGGACCCTCCTGGTCTGTTAGCAGTCAAGACAGTTCCCCACAGTTTATGCTCAAAAACCAAACTAATCTAGATAATACCTCACCGTGACTCTCTTTCCAGGTTTTCTGTATTCTGTCTCAGTGTCTCTTTGGTGGCAAAACTTGTGCTGCTACAATAGAATTAGGTACTTGTTTCACCTTATTACAAGGATATCATCTGTCCAAAATCTATTATCAAAGTCATTATCCCTCATGTCCTGGTTAGAGTTCTCTGTTCTGGACATCTGGCTTTTGTGTCTGTTTTCTGGTGCCTTCCAGAAGGCAAGGACTCCTACTTTGCTGAAGGAGCCATGCCTGTTATGCAAAGTAAGGTTGTCCTAGAACTTGCTGTGTAGACCAAGGTGATCTGAGACTCACAGAGATCTGCCTGAAAGCAAGATCTTTACTGTAAGAACAGGAATACTGAGCTTTCCTTGATTCTTAAGGATGGAAAAAACTTGAGTTGTAGCTCCTAGAGATGATTAAGAGCAGGTGATACAGTCCCACATGTGCACTGTGCACATGAACAAGCTTGCTGTGTTCATATGGTCTTCAAATTTGTGTTTCCTGCTGTTGGGTAGAGGGTATGTGCAAAGGAGAGTCAGAGGCAGCTGCAGAGTCATCAGTTCTCTCATATCTTTGGGTGGGTTCTGGGGATCAGACTCAGGTCATCAGATTTGCGTGGCTGTGCACAGTGGCCTTGGGTTCCCCATTGCTAGGGAGAATGAAAAGTCCAGTTGTCTGAACTCCATTTGGAATCTCCTAAATCAAATGTGTGAACTCAAGCCCTGGCATGTGTATTTTTAATGTTGTGCTTAAGGTTCTAATGAACCTTACAGCTCTCCAGGTCAGTACTGGTGGAGGTTTCCCTGACCCAGTATGTTGATTGCCAAATTTGCCCATTAGAATTATAACTAACTCAACCTGTGGGTCAAAACTCTTTCACAGGGATTGCTTATGGGATATCCTGCATATCAGATATTTACATTACAATTCATAGCAATAGCAAAGTTACAGTTATGAAGGATCAATGAATATAATTTTATGGTTGGAGGTCACTACAACCTGAGGGACTATATGGAAAGTTCATAGCATAGAAAGGTTGAGAACTCTAACCTAGGAAAATTCCACCGTTCTGCAATTATTGGAAACGTCAGGAAGGTTCTTGCATGTGTGTATATTCATGCTATGCACACATACATCAACAAGCCAAAGGATAACCTTCTGTGTTATTACTCAAGTGCCATTTAAAGACTATTTCTTACTGACTGGGAACTTAATAAGTCAGCTAGAATGGATGGTTGGCTAGGGAGCCCTCCCTAGCATTTGGACAATCATATGCTACTGTGCCTGGTTTTTCATATGGGTCCTGGGGCTCAAACTCAAATCTTAATGCTTGCAAGGCAATTACTTTATGAACTGGGCTATCTCATCTCCCCAGCCTGTCTCAGACAAAAATACTCTTCATTTTCAAGTTTGCAGATAACCTGTTAAAGTTTGTTTGGCCTAAATGGCTAGATTGGGGTTAACCTCTATCTTAGTAATGTCTCTAGAATAAAAGGAGTGTGTCTTCTTGTGTGTGCACATGTGTATGGGGTTGATGTTGGGTGTGTTCCTCAGTTCTTCAAGTTTGTGTTTGTTTCTCTCAGCTGTGATTTTTTTTTTTTTTGAGACAGGAGCCCATTGAACCTGCAGCTCAGTGATGAGGCTAGACTACTAGCAGCTGGCTAGCAAGCTCCAGGGATCTGCCTATGTCTGCACCCCCACTGCAGCAGACTTCTTTTTAGTGGGTGCTGGGGGCCTGAGCTGAGGTCTTCATGCTTACATAACCAACACTTTACATAGTCATCACTCTAGCCCCCAAGGTTTTACTATAACTTAACTAAACAACCTATAGACAGACCATAGAATTGAGGGTTTCTGGGAGGTTCAGGTTACTCTTTCACTGTCTTGAGAGCGCATTGACTTTCTTCTAATCTGCAGGTATAATGGTTTTGAAATTGCCCTTTCTGAAAAGAAGAGGAGGGGGTGTGGACCCAACAGTTAAAGAACGTCTTTGGTTGACACTTCATTGGCCCAAGAACCAGCCAACACAGCTGGTATCCAGTTGTTTTGGGTAAGTCTTGGGGTCATGCTTTCTAACAAATACTATTTTCCTGTTGAGATTCAGAGATTTCCAGGCATATTGTATGTTCACAAAAGGGAGAAATAAGTGCGCACACCTTTAATCAAAGCACTTGGGAGCAGAGGCAAGTGGCTCTCTAGTTCCAGGACAGCCAAGGCTATACAGAGAAACCCAATCTTGGAAAAAAGGAAGAAAATGGAGAAATATCCAAGGTTTATGTTACCATTGTAATTCATCTAATTAATTTTTGGGGGGTGGGGGTGAGACAGGGTTTCTCTGTGGTTTTGGAGTCTGTCCTGGAACTAGCTCTTGTAGACCAGGCTGGTCTCCAACTCAAAGAGATCCACCTGCCTCTCTGCCTCTTGAGTAGTGCTGGGATTTAAAAAAAGTGTACACCACCACCACCCAGATCATCTTTTTGTTTGTTTGTTTGTTTGTTTGTTAAGACAAAGTCTCAGTTATGGCACAGATTGGCCTAGAACTCAGGATCCTCCTGCCTCAGCTTCTCAAGTGTCTCACATTGCCCATCTTGGCATAATAATTGAAATGGTAGATGGGAAAATTTTTGAAGCCTGTGCTAAGGGAAGCATGACACCTTGGATCTGCCCTGTCATTCCCCCCCAATCCACGCACACATGTACAGGCTGGAAAACCCTAGGTGGTTTGACTTAAGTTGCTCTATAAACCAGGGTTCCCTGATTCATAAGTGGCATGAACCACTTATACAATTCACCCATTTATACGGATATTCAAGGGGGTACAGTCAAGATGCACAGGGCAGCATGTGGGAGAGAGAAGGCCTTTCCATTCCTTCTTTGGATGTTATAGAATCATCATTACATACATGTAATTGATGAAGTCATTGGTGACCAACTTATCTTGATCCTCCCCTTCCTTAAAATTTGGCTGGAACTGCAAGTCACTCACCTATCCTGCCTGGGCCTGCTGAGTGACCTTCCCACATCTTGAAGCTACCTAGAGGCTGCAGGTACCAGCTTAATGTGCAAAAGATACTGCTTCAGAGATACATGCCAGAAAAGAACAAAGACTAAATACAGTGTCAAGCTGCCCCTGATTGCCAAAGACATAGAGAAAATTTCACAGGCTAGTTCCTTGCTTTTAAATAAGACAATACAGAAAAGCACATACAAATTGCCCAAAATGTTAGCTACACCTCCTACTGACATCTATCTCAAAAAATGATAAATCTTAAACTTTGAAAGTTTTTGTTGACTTTTATAAATTAAAACTAAATATGAAGTGAAATGTCTAAAAGAGAGTACATGGACATGGTAGCCCATGCCTAAAATAGACAGTCCTTTTGAGACTAAGGCAGAATAATCTTCAGGCTAGCTTGGGATACATAGCAAGACTATCTCATTTTTTTTTTTTTTTTTTTTTTTTTTTACTGTGTGCATTGGTATTTTGCTTGCAATCATCTATGTCTGTGTAAGGGTGCCAGGTCTCCTGGAACTGGAGTTATAGTTGTAAGCTGCCATGTGGGTGCTGGGAATTGAACCCAGGTCCTCTGGAAGAGTAACCAGTGCCCTTAACCACTGGGCAAACTCTTGAGCTCCTCAAAAAAACTTTTAAAAAGATAGTCATGTACATTGAAGTTTCAAGAGTAAAAAAAAAAAAAAACCGAAGTGTCATTCCCTCTGCTACCTTGCAGATGCATACTTCCTTTTCCTTCCTCTAGATAGAGTAAGGGAGTGTATGTTGCAGTTTCTTTGCTTTGCTTTAAAATATTTCAAAGATTTATTTATTGTGTGTGTTCGAAGTGTGTGCCGTGGCATGTATGTGGAGTTGAGGGGACAACTTTCAGGAATCGGTTCTCTCTTTCCATCATGTGGATTCTAGAGACAGGACTCAGGTCAGGCTCTGTGTAGCCATAGCTGTCTTGGAACTTGCTCTGTAGACCAGGGACTCACAGAGATCCACCTCTCTGTGGCATGTGACACTGCCACAATAAATTTGTAAAACAGAAAATACGGCCACCAAAGGAAGGGAGTATGCAGCAGGCCCAGCAGTTGGGACCTACAGTTTAATCTGGTTGTAAGCTCTGTCAGAAACTGGTCAGCCCACTTACAGATTCGGGGGGAGTGTTCCTCATGGCAGACCCTGTTCTTGTGAGAGCAGTGTGTTTTCTGCTTCTTGTAGTGAGCCTCTTGAGCTAAGAAGAGGACTACGTCTCTCTCCTCAGCCATGCTAATCTTTGAAGTTACTATAGGAGCATATATCACATTCTTCTGCCACTGAGGTTCCAGACCTGGCTAGACAGCCACAGTCTGACATCTGGTGAGAGGTGTGCTCTTCTTCTTACAGAGGCGAGCTGCTGCTGTGGGACCTTACCCAGTCATGGAGACGGAAGTACACACTCTTCAGCACCTCAGCAGAAGGACAGAATCACTCCAGAATCGTGTTTAATTTGTGTCCTCTGAAGACAGAGGATGGCAAACAGCTGCTCCTGTCCACGTCCATGGACAGAGATGTAAGAACTGATTTCCACCTTTGTTTGGAGAAGTGGTGTGTCACGAGGATGGGGCTGGAAGGTGAATGGCCTCATACACATGTGCATTCCATTCAGAGCCCCAGCTATCACATGCACTGGATATGGCAACAGCAGAGGCTGTGAAAAGTGGCTAGAGGCACTTTTTTTGTAGGGAATGGGGTTTGAGACAGGGTTTCTCTGTGTAGAACCAGCTCTGTAGACCAGGCTAGCCTCAAACTCATGAAGATATGCTACCCTCTGCCTCCCAAGTGCCAGGATTAAAGACATGATCCACCATCTCCCAGCTAGAGACACTTTTTGGAGATAGGCCTCTAGCCTAGTCTGGCTTTGAATCCATCATTACCTTGAACCTCTTATCTTTTTGCCTCCACTTTGGAAGTGTTTTAACCATTCCTGGTTGTACTTGTGGTTGGAGCCATGACCTCATGCTAAGCAGGTGCTCTACCAACTGAGCTGAGACTCTAGCCCTTGATCTAGGCATCATTTTTCTCCTACACACACACACACACACACACACACACATACACACACACACAGGGCTTGTCAGGCAGCAGCTCTTCCAGAGTTGTGAGAGAGGTGTTTAGCAGTGCTGTGACCTAGGGAAATGATAACCCTGTGCTCTCCATTACTAATTAGGTTCAGGATGCCAAATTCACTGAAGATGCCTGAGAATGAATGTGCCACTAGATCCATTTGAACTTTGTGATTCAATTGCACATTTGTTTCCCATTTGTAATATTTAATTCTTAACCCCCATTTCTTTGCTTTTTTGAACCTTTGCTCTTTTTTAGGTAAAATGTTGGGACATGGCCACCCTGGAGTGCTGTTGGACATTGCCTTCTCTTGGAGGTTTTGCCTACAGCCTGGCCTTTTCTCCTGTGGATGTGGGCTGCCTGGCCATAGGTGTTGGGGATGGCATGATCCGGGTGTGGAATACACTCTCCATAAAGAACAATTATGATGTTAAAAACTTCTGGCAAGGTGTTAAGTCCAAGGTTACAGCGGTAAGGGGGCTTCTTGGAGATTTTTTTCAGATTCTTTTTAGATACTGCTGGAAATCAAAGGATGTTTAAAGGTATCTGTGATGAAGATGAAGTTCTCACAGTCTAAGCTCTGGATATTTGAAGCACATGGGATTGGCCTTGGGTTGCATGGGGTGGTGAGAATACAGTGACTTTAACTTTGTTACTGTTTTTCTTAATGCATTTATTTAAGTGTGTGCAGTGGGAGGGGGGTTCAATTCTTCCTTCTTCATGAGCCTTGGGAGAGTGAAAGCTTGGAGGCAAGTGCTTTTACCTGCTGAGCCCTTACTGGCTCTTCTTATCTAGTCCTTCTTGTTATTAAATAAGAGAATTAAATGAAGAGCAGAAAAGTTTTCCATGAAACAGTCAGGACTGCATAAGGACTCCTTTCTGTGCACTTATCTCTCATCTGGTAATTTCTCTTGTAGCTGTGCTGGCACCCAAACAAGGAGGGCTGCTTGGCGTTCGGAACTGATGATGGAAAAGTGGGATTGTATGACACCTGTTCCAACAAGTAAGTATGGTGACTGTCCCAGCTTAGTGACCAGAACATCTGTGATGTAAGATTTAACATGGAGTCCATAATCCCAGCACACAGTAAAGCTGTTTTAGAGTAAAATTTTTTAGTTTTTTAGATAATGACAGTGTAGACTGTTATTTAAGAACTACCAAAATGGGCTGGAGAGCTGGCTCAGCAGTTAAGAGCACTCACAACTGTCTCTAACTCCAGTTCCAGGGGATCTGATACACTCACACAGACATATATGCAAGCAAAATACCAATAAAATAAATAAACAAAAGCCATTAAATAATTAAAAAAAAAAAAAGAAGATAAACCAGTGTGACTTTGTACAAGAGTTTCCAGATACACACAAAGCTGACAGACTTGTGGAGAAACACACATGCACTTTTTCTGTTTAATTTGTGGTTCTTGATGTCTTGTGTGATCAGCCTCGGGACTAAGAGGTATAGTTGACTTGCAGAACACTTGCCTAGTGTGCCATGCGCTTGCACGCTTGGTGTGAAGATGAGGCTACACGCCTTTAATTTCAACACTTGGGATGCTGAGGCAGGTGGATCTCTTGAGTTGGAGGCCAGCCTGGTATAATTTGACACTTTTCTCAAAATAAAAACAAATACAATGTGAAGATGGTATTCTGTATAGTTGTAAAGTTCTGTTATGACTGAGAAAGTTTCAGATTTTTGTGATGTGCTGACATAGGTGAAAGTCATGTTTTCTGAGGTAATTTCTGTTTGGGTTCCTGTGGCATGTTTGGTTGTCTTTCTCTGGAGTACCTGCTTCTTTCTGTAGCATTGGTACATTTCCAAATCTTAGTGCATTTTCTAAACCTCTTCATCTTGTACTTGTCTGGCTGTTTCCTTTTTGCATGGAACTCCTGATGACACTTTTTCTGTTGTCTACAATTTCTGCCTCATATCCGAATAAACATTAGCACAGATGACCAAATTCTGGAAGAGCCATGAACCCAAGTGTGATAGGTTGTATGTGTTATGTACAGTCTTAATGTTTATAAAGAGTGTAGATAGGGCTAGAGAGACAGCTTAGGGGTTAAGAGCACTGGCTGCTCTTTCAGAGAACCCAGGTTCTGTTCCCTACCCCCACATGGTGGTTCACAGCTGTCTGTAACTCTAGTTCCAGGGGATCTGATCTGATGCCTTCTCACCTCCATGGGCAACCAGGCACACATTTGGTAAACAAATGGATACAAAATGCCCATGTTCTTAAAATCAAAAAAGAAAAACCTTTTTAAAAGATAAAGTAGCTTATAAGTAATCTTTTTAATCTTTTTTTTGAGATGGGGGTTTCTCTGTGTAGCCCTGGCTGTTTTGTAACTCTGTAGTCCAGGCTTGCCTCAAACACACAGAGATCCAGCAGCCTCTGCCTCCTGAGTGCTGGGATTATAGGCATGTGCCACCACTGCCTGGCTGTAGTCTTTTATTTCTTTTATTATTGTTGTTACTTGTTTGAGACAGGCTCTTCATCCATGTTGGCCTTGAACTAACTCCATAGCAGAGGCTGGCCTGGTCCTCATAGTCCTTCTGTCTCCACCTTTGATGTTTTAGGATTATAGGCACTTTGTATATGTGTCACCTTATAGAATATGTTTACTTTAGTGAGTTATTTGACACATACTAAGTCAATCTTACTTGTTCCTTTGCCTTATTTATTTATTTTCCCTTTTCATAGGGATTGTGTCTGGCCTCCTTGATCTTTTTTGACTATGACTTCTAGTGTGTTCTAGGTTACATTTGGGGTTTGTATTTTTGCCTCAGACTGTATATTGGACACAGCTGCCCTGATTACAGATTAGACCTGCTTGTTCAGTTCAGCAGCCCCTTGCCACACATGGCTATTGATACTGAAATTACATGAGTTTAGAAATATGGGACTTCATTTACACTGGCCACATCTCAAATCACAAGAGTAAAATGTGGCCTAGCGTGTTCCTTTCTCAACGTGGGAATGGGTGGGTTCAGGGTTCCATAGCATAGGAAGAAGCAGGATGACCTCTTAATGTGTGTAAATAAAATTCTGTAGGATGTAGGGACTCATCCATACTCACTGATTACATCCTGCTGGCTGCATGCACACCACAGCACCCTGCAGTGATTGGCAGACCACAGGACTGCAAAGCCTGACCTGCTCACTGTCCCTTTATGGAAAAGGATGTGAGAGCGTTTCTACTGCGGAGCTGCCCTCTCTTCGTGTTGTTCCTCCCTCTGCCTTACCTCTGTTTCTTTGCTGTGGTAAGGTTCTGTCTTAGTCACTTCTCTACTACTCTGATAAGACACCATGACCAAGGGAACTTACAAAAGAAAGAGTTTAATTTGGGGTCCACAGTTCCAGCGGGTGCGTTCATGACCAGCATGGCAGCAGGCAGGTGGGCATGGCACTGGAGCAGTAACTGAGAGTTTACATCGTAATCTATAAGCATGAGTCAGGGAGAACTTCCCTGGGAATGGTGCTGGCTTTTGAAACCTCAAAGCCCATCCCCAGTGACACACCTTTATCAAGGGCACACCTTCACAAACAGGACCAAGAAGAATTCACAGGTAGTAATCTATTGGGGCCACTCATTCAGACCATCATAGGCCTCATGAAGTCGATTCCACAGTCTATGTGCAGTGCTTTAAATATTTATGTAGAACCTGTGTCTGCTTGACTTTTTGCTTTTTTCTCCCTTTTTGCTTAAGTACAGTTTCAAAGGTATATAACTAAACAAAACTGTGTTGACTTTAGTAGCAGTAAATCATCCCGTAAGCTGAGTAGTCAGCCTACAGTAGTTAAGCAGTGAGGTAAGATGGAAGGTGTCACTGTTAGGCATCAGGATGGTTTATTTTGTTGCTTTGAGCCAAAGAAATTTGTACTGTCAGTGCTGTAAGTGTGTCTGGTACTTCAGTCAGTAACATGGTTCCTTCAACGTAGATTCTGGAGTTCTAAATCCGTACCTAGACTATGATTGAGACTAAAAGTTTTGACAGTGCTGGGTTTTTTTTTTGTTTGTTTGTTTTTGTTTTGTTTGTTTTGTTTTTCCCCAAGAAGTCAAGCTTGATGCCCCTAAGAGCAAGACCCCCTGAAATAAAATAAAACACTTTGAAGATCTGCCTTCTTTCAGGTTTAATTGTAGTTTAAGAATGTGGTACTGGCTGAGCTTGGCTTTGTGGTGCATACCTCTAATCCTATCATTCAGGAAACAGAAGCAAATGGATCTCTGTGAGTTTCAGGGTAGCCAGATCCACATAATGAGGTCCTGTCTTGGGGGCGGTCACTAATGGCAGAGGGTAGAAGTGAGGAGCCTGTCAGCCCTCAGGTTGGGTGACTGGTTGTCACAGCCTCTGTACTCCTTTGTGACTACTGAAATGCCAAATGTTTGGCATTGCTTTACAGAAGAGAAAAATGATTCCAGCTGGGTGGGCAGTGCACTCAGGAATTGTTTTGGTGGTAGACATTATTACATGGTAAGTTAAGTGTTTGCTTTTTAACAACCATTTGGGGCAAAGTTAAGTTGTTTTTCTCTAATACCAACAACCACATGTACACAAAGGACCTTTCAGAGAAAGTAGGCCTATTTATTAAGTCATCCTGTTTTCTCTTTCCACAGACCTCCACAGATTTCGAGCACATATCATAAGAAGACTGTGTATAGGTTGGCTTGGGGGCCACCAGTACCCCCAATGTCACTTGGTAAGTATGTGAGTCATTCTTAACACACGAGTGTATTCTTTAATTAGAGTCTGAAAGCTGGTTGTGTGTGCATGTGTGAACTATGCCCCCAGGAGTCTATGAGGGTGGCAGAGATGGGTGATCGTGGTGGTTAGAGGAAAACCTTTTCTCCCGCCTCCCCCAACTCTGATGTATTGCTTTTGTGTTTGAGCTGGGTCTTCACTGTACAAAGTAATCTGTACAAAGTAATCCCAGGCTGGGCACTGGCCTTCCTATCCTGGCTGCTGCTTTCCCTAAAGCAATGTGTCTGGGGTTTTTTTGTTTTGTTTGTTTGTTTTTTTAAGCCATCTGTGGCACTGGAGGGAGTTTTTTGTTTGTTTGTGTTTTTGTTTTTTTAATTTTATATAAATTGGTGTTTTGCCTGCTTGCATGTTTGTGTGAGAGTATTGGATCTTGGAGTTACAGACAGATATGAGCTGCCATGTGGGTTCTGGGAATCCTCTGGAAGAGCAATCAATGTTCTTAATCACTGAGCCATCCCTCCAGCCCCCAATATATTTCCCTTAATGTCTTTTAAAAAGAGTCAGAAGTTTTCCACACTCTATCTTCTGGTGCTGAAGTGTCTGCATTCCTTAGCATTAGCTTTGTGTAGAGGGTTGCATTGCAACCAGGGAGGTAGCTAGCTCTACAACTAAGGACAGTGCCCTGAAACCCCCTTCTTGGCCATGTGAAGTCCTGTACTCTGTTTGTACAAACAGTAAGACTCATTTCTGGAAGAAAAACTACACTGTCAGAAACTTTTATTTGAAATCATAACATTTTTTTTCTCTGATCACATCTTTAGTGCTGCTCTTGAATGTCAAGAAGAACCTTTGCAGTGAACCCAGTATCTCAGAAGTTAGCAGTACCTGTTCTTCTCCCCATAGCTTTCCAGATTGGTAGGAGGGTGGCTTTATCCCAATGTGTCAGGTCATTTCCCATCCAGAGCTGGAAATGAAGGGCTGTTAACAGTGTGGTGCACTGCGCTAATGATGTAGCTATGGAAGCAGCTACACTGTGCAGTGAACTGAAGAGTTTTTCTTTCATAGGAGGGGAAGGAGACAGGCCTTCCCTCACCTTGTACAGCTGTGGAGGGGAAGGCATTGTGCTGCAGCATAACCCATGGAAACTCAGTGGTGAGGCCTTCGACATCAATAAACTCGTGAGGGATACCAATTCCATCAGAGTAAGTTCCAGTGAGCTGATGTCCACTCCTTTGATGTCTCTTATTCCTCGGGGCCATCTCTAAAGATGCCCATTATGTTTAGCCACACTTCGCAGATAGTTGAAAAAGCTATTGCTGAATTTGTGGTTTGCCTGTTAAACCTTAGAGATATTTATCATTGAGTAAAGCAAAGAACTGTATGGGGATGAGGAGACTTAATTGCAATGGCAATGGTAAAAACTTTCTTTATCTCACTGGAAAGTACCCTCTTGTTTTGGGTTTTTTTGTTTTGTTTTGTTTTCTTTTTTGAGACAAGATTCAACATATATAATCCTGAGGGGCCTGGAACTCATTATGTACACCAAGCTGTCCTCAAATTCACAGAGAGCCTCCTGCCTTTGCTTACCACATGCTGGAAGAAAAGGTGTGCATCCTTTTGAAGCTAACCCTTTCAACTAGAAGTGCCCTGTTGACAATGACTTTATGTGGTTGACCTCAGGCCTCGATGGTCTTTTCTTTTGATATGGTGACTTCTTGTTATCCCAGGATGACTTCAAGTTCCTGATCCTTCTCTCTCAGCCTCCCAAGTGCTGGTATTGCACAGGGGTGTTCACCAAGAGTCACATGCACAACAATGCAAAAAAAAATTGTGAGGTCCAGGCAAGGACCTCACATTTAATCACATTTGCTTTAACTCTGTGTCATTGTGTTTGTATGACTCAACTAGTTTTTCTTTTCTGAGACAGGATCAAACATAACCCAGGCTAGCCTCAAGCTTGGTTCCTGCCTCCACCTCCCAGGTGCTAGGATTACAGGTGTGCACCACAATGCCTGGCTTCTACAATTGTTCTTAAGTCAAATCATAAATATTGAGACTTCTTTACCCCTTGCAGTTTTAATTGCTGCTTCTCATTTTTCTATACTTACCACAAGGTAACATAATCCTAAATCATATTTGATTGTATTCTTTCATTTTCTTCAATGTTGTTTATGTATTAACACCCAGTAATGAAAAGAACTCCTGTCCTGACAAGATTTTAGTTGAGTGACAGCTGAGTTTCTGTACTAGAGTTCAAATGAGAATTTTGTACAGGAGATAGAAATTTGGGCTCTCTTCACATAAATGACTTTGAAAAGGCTGTGGACATGTATGGAGTAGACAAAAGACACAAGAAAAACAGTCATGAAGCCACTGAAATGGCTGAGCAGGTAAAAGCGGTTGCCACTAAGCCTGACTACCTGAGTTGTGTCCAGGAACCTTCATAAAGTTGGAAGGAGACACTAATCCCAGAGTTGTCTTCAGGCTTCTACACACACCCATGCCCTTGAGCAACATATACACACAAACATAATCAAATGTTTTTAAGAAAAAGCAAGCAAACAGGCAAGGTTCTTACAGGACCCTGAGGAATAGCTGGTCTGATTTTGAGCAGTAGACTCATGGGAAAATGCTGGGGAGTGTGCCTTTTGCTAAGGGGACTGGCAGGGTAGAAGGAATCCTTTTGGTTAGCTTTATTCTGTAAGGTGGAAGGCTGCAGACAATACTTACTGGCCTCTGTTTCATTTAAGAAACTGTAGTCAGAGTACTTGTTCTCAGTAACTCTTTGGCTGAATGTGGTGTTAGTCTAGAAAACTGCCCTTCAAAATTAGAACATGTTTTAACCCCAGGGAATTTTTTTTTTCTCCCCTCATGATGTCATTGATTTGTGAGATGAAGAGCGAGAAGAAAATGTTATACCCATGTCTGGCTTGTTTTGCTTTCTAGTACAAGCTACCTGTGCACACAGAGGTCAGCTGGAAAGGAGATGGCAAAGTCATGGCTCTTGGCAATGAAGATGGGTGAGTGTGTCCATTACACAGTTGTGTTATTGCAGCATTCCTGGCTGGCCAAGGCTTTCTGCAGTGCCCAGTGGCAGTCCCTTTGTGTTCTATGTTAGGATTCACTGTGGATATCCTCAGCTGATCTGCACTCTTTATCTTTGTGAAGACAGAGTTATTTGAATCTTTGTAGCTCAGTTATATGTCTGACTACACTGTGATGGCTAACTGTGTTTTGTCTATTGTTCACTGTAGTCACAGTCCTTTTTCGGACATTAGTTCATAGCTCTGTCACCCACACCTCTACCCCCAGCTAGTTCCTGGTTCCTTGTGAGAGAAGGGCAACTGCCATGGATAGAGTGTGCTGTGTTTCTGTCTCACCTTCCCTGAACTGAGGGAAGAAGGGGAGGCTTGTAACTTGATTAGCCATCATTGTCTTCCTGCTGTGTCTTGTTCCAGATCAATAGAAATATTCCAAGTCCCCAACTTGAAACTGCTCTGCACCATCCAGCAGCACCACAAGCTGGTAAACGCCATAGTGTGGCACCATGAGCACGGCAGCCGTCCAGAGCTGAGCTGCCTCATAGCTTCTGGCTCCAACAATGCAGTCATCTATGTGCACAACCTGAGAACTGTCCTAGGTAACACTGACTTCTGTGCTGGGTTAATGCAGGATTTTTGAGACAGGCTGGCTTTGTGTAGCCAGAAATGACCTTGAGCCCTGTCCTTGTGCCTGTGCTGAGGTTGTAGCCTTGCACTTCCGTACCCTACTGTAATCTGGGGTTCTATGCCTAGGGGAAGATCCTTTAAAATGAAGGTGAAATTATAGACTTCACAAATAAGTATTTTTTTTTAAAGTTGCCTCAGGAGATAGAGGCAGGCAAATCTCTATCTATAGAGGCAGGAGTTCAAGGCCAGCCTGGTCTACAGAGCAAGTTCCAGCATTGGCTCTATAGCTACTGGGAAACCCTGTCTTGAAAAACAAACAAACAAAACACATGAGGGACTTTGTCACCATTAGAGCAGACAATAAAATGTTGGATTTCTTTAGGTAAAGGAATTGATAGTGGTTTGGTCACTCTTCCTTGCAGTTGGGTTTGATCTGGTGTTTTCTCATGAGTAGCTCCAGATGATCTGCTACTGCCATGTGAGTGCAAGTGTGTCTAGGAGGAGGTAGCCTGTGGTAGCCTGTGTGGCAGCCCTGATAGTGAGCTACACTCTCTCTCTCTTTTTTTCTTTTCTTTTTTTTTTTTTTTTTTTTTTTTTTTTTTTTTTTTTAATCTTTAATTTTGAGCTTCTATCATTTCCTCCTTCTCTTTATATCCCTCCAAACCCTTCTGTGTACCCCCTTTACTCTTTGGTTTTTTGAAACAGGGTTTCTCTGTGGCTTTGGAGCCTGTCCTGGAACTAGCTCTGTAGACCAGGCTGGCCTCAAACTCAGAGATCTGCCTCCCTCTGCCTCCTGAGTGCTGGGATCAAAGGTGTGTGCCACCACCAGCCCCCCTTCTTACTCCCCTTACTCTTTCGAATTCATATACTCTTTTTTCTTTAATTTTTGTTGCACATATATATTCTTAAATACATAAATGCAACCTTCTCAGTCCATTTAATATTATTAATACAAACATGTTTTCAGGACTGAGGATTTCGTATCCGATAAGCAATTGATGCAGTCTTCTTGGGGAAGACTGTTTCTCCTTATCTCAGTATTTCTTAGTTGCCTGTAGTTCTTTAAGGTTGAGGCCTCTTAAGCTTTCTCCCTTGTACCTTTGAGCTTTCTCCCTTTGACATTAGTCTATTGGCGTCATATTTGTTCAGGTGATGTTTGCGTAGCCATTTTGGTGAGACTTCATGTCTTTTCAAGGAGACACAACCTCATAGAAAATTCCCTGATCCACTGACTCTTAAACTCTCTCTCTCTCTCTCTCTCTCTCTCTCTCTCTCTCTCTCTCTGTGTGTGTGTGTGTGTGTGTGTGTGTGTGTGTGTGTGTGTGTGTGTGTGTGTTTGTGTTTCTCAAGACAGGATTTCTCTGTCTAACAGCTTTGGCTGTCCTGGAATTTGCTTTGTAGTCTAGGCTGGCCTTGAACTCACAGAGACCCACCTGCCTTTGCCTCTTGAATGCTAGGATTAAAGGGGTGCGCTACCACTGCCTGGCTAAGCTCAGTCGTAATCACTGAGATCTCACAAAGCCTTCCCTGCCTCTTGCTATGTTCTGTCTTCCTGTGCATCCTGTCCATGGCTGTTGTTTTGACTTCTTCCTCTTGCCTTTTAGAGAGCAATTCTGAGTCTCCAGTGACCATCACAGAGCCCTTCCGGACCCTGTCAGGGCACACAGCCAAGGTTACCAGTCTGGCGTGGAGCCCTCATCATGATGGAAGGCTGGTATCTGCTTGCTATGATGGCACAGCTCAGGTACTGTGTGTATCCTTGAGCCTGGAAGTCCTTCACTGTGTAGTCTGACTTATTTTTGGTGGGGAGGTTGGTTGGTTTTTCTAAACAGGGGTTTCTCTGTGTAACAGCTGTAGTGGTCCTGGAATGACTTACTCTGAGTTAAACTTTCTCTTCCCTATGTTTTCATTCCCCTTCTGTCATTTATAAAAGGACTGTTTGAGCTAGAAGACACTGTAGTTTCATCATAGCCCTTAGCAGATCACTTTTGACTTATAGTCAATGTGGGGAATCCTGATTGCTCTCAGTGTGGTGGACCCAAGTAGCCCAAAAAGACTCTTTCAACCAAACCAACATAAAACTTTTAGATAATAGTAAATTCTGTTGTTTGAGTTTTTGCTGCATGGTCATGCTGTACAAGGCAGTCTGTCCTCAGACTCTTTGTATTTTGATTAAGTTTGGTGGGTTTTTTTTTTTTTTTTTGTTTTGTTTTTTGTTTTTTTTTAATTTTTGGTTTTTTGAGACAGGGTTTCTCTGTGTAACAGTCCTGGCTGTCCTGAAACTTGCTCTGTAGACCAGGCTGGCCTCAAAGAGATCCACCTGCCTCCCAAGTTCTGGGATTAAAGATGTGCGTCATCCCCCACTGGCTTGGATTGGTTTTGTTAATTAACATTTTTTTGGGGGGGGGAAGTAGAGGGGTTGGTGCTCTTCTCCCATCATGTAGGTCCTAGGGATTGAACTCAGGTCATCTCAGACTTGGCAGCAAGTGCCTTTTCCACTGAGCCATCTCACCATCCTGTCCTCAAAGTGTTAATCATCTTGCTTCAACCTTCCATGCTAGAACTGTAGATGTGGGCCACGGGAAATAGTGTTGTCACATGAATGCCTTAGTTACATTACAGATCATGTGAAAATTAAAAGCCCATCATCAATTTATTTTTAATTGAGCAACTTATGCCCCAAAACAATATAACTATCAGTTGTTTGTTCTGTCATACTAACGTTGATTCTAGGTGTGGGATGCCCTTCGGGAAGAGCCTTTGTTCAATTTCCGAGGACATCGAGGCCGACTGCTATGTGTGGTGTGGTCCCCAGTGGACCCAGAATGCATCTACTCAGGTGCAGATGACTTCTGTGTATACAGGTGGCTGACTTCCATGCAAGACCATTCCCGGCCTCCTCAAGGTTGGTCAGAATGAGGTTATAGAACCCATACTGGTTGGTTTTTTTTTTCGGAGGGGGGTGGTTCTCAATCCTTTTCTCTGCCTTAATAATTGCTGCTGTGACCCCATTTAGCATTTCCCATCACTGCCAAATTATAACAAGTGTGGCTGTGCTCTTAACAGAGTTGTTAGACCTCATTATTCACTAGGAGTAGGAGGGCATTGGGAATGAAGGCACCTGTAATATCTTATGCCAAAAAGAAAGGGTGTGCTCAGAGAACTGAGACATCAAAGTACAGGGAGCAGCTTGAAGGGCCCTTGCTAAACATAAGGAGGACTGTTGACAGGAGGGGCCAGCAAGATACCTGAGAGTGGAGGATTAGTCAGGATTCTCTAAAGGAACAGAACTGAAGAATGGAACACACACACACACACACAGGACTTATTAAAGTGGCTAATGATCTGTGGCCTGGGTAGTCCAACAACGGTTGTCTCCAGATGGAAAGGCCCAAAATCCACCAGTTACTCAGTCCACAAGACTGGCTATCCCAACAGTTCCAAATCTGGTGCTGGATGGAGTCTGGGAAGATTCCTAGAGAACTGCTAGTCCTTCAGTCTGTATTGGAACCCTGAAGAAGTAGATTCTAATACTGATAAGCATTAGGGCAAGCAGGCAAAAGGTAAAGACTTCTCTTTCTCCATGTCCTCCTTCTATACAGGCTGCCACCGTAAGTGTGACCCAGATTTTAATGGGTTTTCTGACCTCAGATCTAGTCAAGAATATCCCTTAGTAGAGAAGCATAGTAGAGACACGAGCCTTTAATCTCAGTACTTGGGAGGCAGAGGCATGAGAATCTTTAGATGTGACTTCAAAGACAGCCTGGTCTACATCGCCAGTTCCAGGACAGCCAAGACTACGTAGAGAGACCCCTGTCAAGACACCCTCTGATCACATAATTAAAATAACTCAAAAGGTCAGACAAAAAGCATGTACTATGTATCTCCCAGGTATCACAGAGGAACATGTCTCTGTCTGCAGTTGAAAATGTAGTCTGCATCCCTTGAAAAGTGTGGGCAGACGTGTGGAATTAATGGAATTGCAGGGGGTGACAACTGAGAAGAATGTAGCTATGAAGTCCTGGAGAAGACTGGCAGAAGAGGGCTCTGTGGCTCAGCAGGATTTCTCCAGGGCATTTCTGATCCACAGTGTGTATTTTAGTCTATTCTTATTTCTATTGTGATCTCTGTAGGGAAAAAATGTATTGAACTAGAGAAGAAACGGCTCTCTCAACCTAAGCCAAAACTTAAAAAGAAGAAAAAACCCGCCTTGCGCCTACCTGTAAAGCAAGATTCATCCATTGGCAATGAAGATGAAAGTTCAAGGGAGAACTCGGGACCCATTGAGAACGGTGTGTCAGACCAGGATGGTGAGGAGGAAGCCCAAGAGCTAGAGCTGCCACCGTCTCCAGTGGGTAGGTACCTCTAAAATACCATCTCACTGGTGTATTGGTGTAACAGGTCCTTCCTCAGTGTGAAGCTTCTGTGTCAACTGAGTCTTTGCAAACCAGGTTAGCAATGTTTAAAGGGGTTTGGTTTGATTTTAAACATTTTGTTTCATGTGTATGAATGTTTTTCCGGCAACTCTGCCAGTGTACCACAAGAGTGCAGTGCCCATGGAGGCCAAAGAGAGCATTTTTTTGGGTCCCCCAAAACTGGAATTAATGAACAGTTGTGAGCTGCCACATGAGTTGGGAATTGAACCCAGATCTTCTACAAGAATAGCCAGTGTGCTCTTAGCCTCTGAGCCATCTCTCCATATCTCTAAAAGGTTGTCTATCTCTAAAAGGTTATCTAAAGACCACTTAGAAATGTTACAAGAGATGTAGTGGATGATTGGGGTGGAGTCAGTAGTACACAGAAAAGCTTCAGCTCTTCAGGGTAAGGCCATGGGGCACAGTGAGATAGGGCAGTGTGTGAGCAGAGGCATGGGTGGAGAAGAGGACACCATCTGTGAAAAAGAGCACTGTCCCTTGAACAGCTGACCTTAAATGTTCCTACTTAAAAGGGAATGAGCAAGTTTCCCCTGTTCATCCTGGAGTCTTAATCACTGTTGTATTGCTATAAAGTGACACCATGACCAAGGCAAATCTTATTTTAAAACAGAACATTTAATTGGGAGGTTACTTAGAGGTTCAGCGGCTTAGTCCATTATCATCATATGTCAGCACTCGTGGTTCTGGAGCAATAGCTGAGAGCTACATCCTGACTCACAGGCACCTGTGTGAGCCAGTGGGGGCCATTCTTAACCAAACCGCCACGAAGGGTCAGTATTCTTCTGTCAGTTCTGCTGTTTCAGTTCCCAGATTCTCATGGAATACATGTGTCACTAGCTCCCTTTGTGATCTTGTGCATGTTTTAAGAGAAATGGTTTGTAGATAAAAATAGCACTTTTATTCTTTTAATGCCTTAAATATCTGTGTTTATATCTATCAAAATGAAAAATTAAATACCAGAGGGGATAAACTGATTTAGGATTGTGGCTGTTGCATACCTGCTGTTTTCTATTAGTGAAGCCTAAGTTATCTGATAAGTGACTTGTCATGTGAGCAGTTTCTGAACCAAATGTTTGAATGATGGGAGTAGTAACACCTGTAGTGCAGTCTGTAAAACATGGTTGCTGGAATTGCATTGTTGAGCCTGTCAGTGCTCTTAAAACAGCAACTAGACTAGACCCTATGGTGAAACAGGGTCTCACTCTGTAACCACAGTTGGTTGTCCTGGGATTCATCCTGCCTCGGTATCCAGAATGCTGAGAGTACAGGCCTGAGTTCCCTTGCCTACTGCCTTTCTATATTGTTCTTGTCTCAAACCTTTTCTGTTTTTGTTTTTGTTTTGTTTTGTTTCTTCTCTTGATGTAGTTGCTGGTGAAGCCGTTTCCTGCACTGCCGTTTCCATAGGTTTTGACAAGTCAAAAGTCATAGTTAGTAACAAAGTCACCTCACTGAAAAAGGAGCCACCCAAAGAGAAGCCAGGTCAGTATCTTCTGTGAGCACATTTTACCAAACATTCCTAAGACATTCTGTGCCCAAAAGAACATGGAATGTCTTATAGTTGTTGAGACCACTGTAAATGTTAGCAGAGTGTTTTGCATGTTTTGTGACCCTGCACCATCCAGTGGAGTGTGAAGTCTGCTGTCTGGGAGTGGCTTGCTCAGTGCTGCTCTCCTACAGGTGGCACCCACACTGCCCACATTTGCATTCCTTCAGCTCTGTCTCTGATCTGTTTTTCTGAAACCATGTGCTGTTGTGTCATTTCAGACGCCTTGCTTAAGAAGAGAAAGGCTCGCTCCATGCTCCCCCTGAGCACAAGCTTAGACCACAGGTCCAAAGAGGAGCTCCATCGGGACTGTTTGGTACTAGCAACTGCAACACATGCCAAAGGTACCATGCGCTGCTTCTTGCACCTACCTGTGTGTGCGCAGTTGATAATGCTATGTTAAGTGAATGAATGAATGTCTGAGGTCACTGCCACCTGTGCTTTTCTCCCAGCTTTCCTTATACTTGACCTACCTGTCCCACTGCCATGCCCCTATCTGCCAGTCACTGCTCCCAGCATCCCATCTGTCATTTCATCACCAGCCAGCCATCTTTGTGTCACATCTGCTTTCCATTCTTCCCTGCTAGTGTCTTTAGAGATGCCCTGTAGTGTGGCAGTTACTTTAAGGTATTTGATGGAGTTTTTATTTTTTAAACGACTTTTGTTTTGTTTGTCACAGCCCAGTATTTTGGTATTTGAGTGACTTTCTATAACTAGCAGGGGGGTAGAGTAAATGAGGATCTAGAATGTGGGTTTTGTTTTGTTTTTAAATTAGCAGAACTAAAGGAAGATGTGTCTGCTGACCTTGAGGAACGGTTCCACTTGGGCCTTTTCACAGACAGGGCTACTCTGTACAGGATGATGGAAACAGAAGGTGAGGCCTCACTCTCCCTAATTCTGTCATGTGCCTTTGTGTGGCTACCAGCCTATGCCTTGGCATTCCATGCAGCTTGACCTGCTTACACGCCTGTTGCCATCTTGGCTATTCCCATATATCTTTTGTGTGGTTATTGCACTAATTGGTGCAGTGCACTTGAAAGCCACTGGTGACAGTGGCCTGCCAGGCTCCAGTTGGGTGACAGTGATGAGCTGGCCTCCAGCCCCATTCACATATGTTGGATTTGGTCTATGGTTTACATTGATAATCCCAGTGCTAAATCCAGGCTATAATCCAGGTTAAAGCAGGAGCATCACAAGATTGAGTCTATCCTGTATGTTCATCCAGTGAGCTCTAGGGCAGCCTGAGCTATGAGGAGACTTTGTCTTTTGAGAAAGAAGAAAAAAAAAAAAAATCCAGGGAGCAGATAGATGGCTCAGCAGGTAATAGTACAATCCTGACCAGTTTAGTCCTCATAACACACACAGCTTATACTATAATCCAAATATCCCTACAAAATAAGGAACAGAGACAAGAGGATGAGCTGCAAGCTGGTGTCATAGTGCAGAAACTAAAATCCTGTCTCTGAAGCAAAGTGAAAGGAAAGATTTAAAATTGGGGCTGGAGAGATGGCTCAGTGGTTAAGAGCACTGACTGCTCTCCCAGAGAACCCAGATTCAAAACATAAAGCCTCTCTTCCACTGTGACTTCTGTTTTATGAAGATCATAGCTTTCAAACACTGTCTCTTCCAAACAGGGAAAGGTCACTTGGAAAGCGGCCACCCTGAGCTTTTTCACCAGCTCATGCTCTGGAAAGGCGATTTGAAAGGTGTCCTCAAGGGGGCAGCAGAGAGAGGAGAGCTCACAGACAGCCTCGTGGCTGTGGCACCAGTAGGTAAGTGCTTCTTAAAAAAGTGTCTTGCATTCCAGAATGTGCCATTGAAGGTGCCTCAGCATTGGTGTGATTGTGCACAGCCAGTACCTGGGAGGCTGGGTTAGAAGAATCACCAATTCAGGGCCAAAATGAGAAAAGATGACGGCATGCATGGCCACGGTGTCTTGTCACTTTCTACTCCCAGCCAGTAGTGTTCCCTGAACTTTATCTTTTGTGTGATAGAGTCAAAAAAAAAAAAAATCCTGTTTCAGAGTATGGGTGTGGGGAGGGAAATGAATCAGAAAAGAATCAGAAAAGTTACAGCAGCATTTGAGCATTTAAAGTAGAACCTGATTGTTCTGCCTATGGGAGTGATGAAAATGGCATTTTTAACTCAAGTATACCTCCTTTTATGTGCCCTCCTCCTCCCTTTTTACCCCTTTAAGCTGGCTATAGTGTGTGGCTGTGGGCCGTGGAAGCCTTTGCCAAGCAGCTGTGTTTCCAGGATCAGTATGTCAAGGCAGCCTCTTACCTGCTCTCCATCCACAAAGTGTATGAAGCTGTGGAACTTCTCAAGTCAAACCATTTCTACAGGTATGTGCAGTTTGTCCTCAACAAGCATCTGACATACTGTGATCTGAACTTGCTGATGAAGCAATGTGAACAGATAAAATAGTTGGGGGCTTGATGACTCATAATTATGTGTATGTGTGTGGGTATGTGCATATGATCGCACTTGTCTGTGGGGTTCAGGGACAGTAGATCCCCCTAGAACTGAAATTACAGAAGGTTCTGCACTACCCAGCATGCTGGGAACCAAACTGGGGTCTTCCATGGGAGAGCAGTGAGTGCTTTTACCCACTAAGCAGTACACATGTACACCTTTTTATAAGAAAAATCCAACATTCCTGTCTTAGGGTTTTTATTGCTGTAATAAACACCATGACCAAAAGCAACTTGAGAAAGAAAGGGTTTATTTCAGCTTACACCTGTAGTCTCAACTGCTGGGGGAAAGTCAGGGCCAGAACTCAAGGCAGGAACTAGGAGATAGGAACTGAAGTAGAAGCCATGTGTCTCTTGGCTTCTTCAGTTTGTTTTCTCATAGTCCAGGACCAGATACCCAAGGGTGGCACTATGTGCAGTGGACTGGGCTCTCCCAAGTCAATCATTAATCATGACAGTATCCCACAGACTTAACCTTCAGGTCAGTCTTAGGGGGCATTTTCTCAGTTAAGACTCTCTTCCCAGATCTTGTCTAGCTTTGGGTCAAGTTGATAAAAGCCAGCTGACACTGTTCTCAATTAGGTGAAGGGCCTGTCCTGTCTACTGTTCTGTTTTGGGGGTTACTGGTGTCTCTTTTCAGTGTAATGCTGTATGTCAGCTACAGTGGCGAAAGACCATTCTAGATGGCATGCACTAGACCCTCTGTTCTTTCTGTCTTACCATGTCTGCCATTAAGTAGGGATGTTTGAGTTGGTGACATTTAATATTAATTTGCTGTGGTTGGCTTGAATCTGCACACCTTGGTGTTTCTTTCTTGTTTGTCGGGTATATATCTTTTTCTGTTTTATTTTGAATTGACTGTTTTTGTCAGGTCCCAGTACAGACTTTCTGGCTACATCCTCTTAAATTTGTTTCTTTAAATGTGTATGGATGTTTTGTTCACATGTTTGTGTGCTTGAAGAGGCCAGAAGAGGGCATTGTATCCCCTGAAGCTGGAATTACAGATGTGTGGGTGCTGGGAATTGAACCCAGATCCAATGGAAAATACAGCCAGTGCTCATAATCACTGAGACATCTCTCTAGCCCCTGATTTTTTTTTTTTTAAATATTATGTTCTACTGGTGATAATTCCCAAAACTTCTTTTGTATATGAAAGCCTATAATTTCACCTTCATCTTAAGAGAGCTTTTCCAAGTTTAGAATTCTAGATAGTTTCCAGGTGTGGTGGTCCATACCGCATCCCAGCACCAGGAAGAATGAGGACCAGGAACATCAGATGTGGTGAAACACACCTGTGATTCTATCATCTTGAGGGGCTAAAACCTAGAAGGATCCTGTACTGCAGATTTTCTTTAACCCAGGCTGGCTTAACGCCTGCCTTAGTTTTCCAGGTGCTTAAATCAGAGGTGTGTGCTCCACACTGGTTGCATTTTCATCTGTACTGCATGAGCACAGTGGAGTTTTCTCTATTCGTTATCACTGATTTTCAGTAATGTGATGATGCACTGTGCTGAGATTGTCCTTTTGTTTATCTTGTCTGGGTTTTGTGGTCCACCTTTAGAGAGTGCTAAATTTTGTTGGTGGCTCGCTCATCTTGACCTTTTTGGAAACAGGGAACAGAGTATAATGGTGCTAGCCTCAAGTCTGTGGCCATGTTGTCTGCCTCTGGAATGCTGTGAATGCCTTCCCCTTATTTCAAAAAGGCAGATTTAGAGGACTCCATACTGTGGACTGGTGTGGCCTCCTACCTTCTGATAACTCTGTTGCAGGCGTTGCTTAGTGAGTGAGTTGCAGCAAGCTCTATGCCTAGAGCTCCAGGCTCTCTGGCTGTTCAGAGTTTCCAGCATGGCCAGATACCCAGCAGGATCCACAAGCAGGAGCTCTGGCAACCTCCCTGTCTATGAGCAGCTTTTTCCTCCTTTGCTGATACAGTCTTTGGTTTAAAGAACTGTGCCTAGGGGTAAAAGCCCCAAGTATTACTTTTTTCTTTTCCTTTTTTTTCTTTCATGACAAGGTTTCCCTGTGTAGCCCTGGCTGTCCTGGAACTTGTTTCTCAGACCAGGCTGGCCTTGAACTCACAGAAATCTTCCTGCCTCTGCCTCTCCTGTGCTGAAACTAAAGGTGTTGCTCTTTAGATCATTTTCATCCCTCCTACAGCTTTATGGCTGCTGCAGCTCACACTGGATTGCACTTGGAAGATATTTGCCAAGTGACATGGATCAACCACAGATGCTTTCTTAAGAATCCCACAAGTGCCACATTCTTAATCTTGGGTCACTTTCACTGGGAAAGTTTTCAACTTTGGGATGCTCTGTGTCCCCAGTGGCAGATACACTTTTCTGAAAATCCCATTTCCCAGGAAAGTGTAAACTTTATCATTGGAAACAAAAGTGACAGGCTTTATTTTGTTCATTTTTGAGAAAGTATCTGTAAGATACTGGAAGCTGTTAGTTTTATTTGTTTTTGAGACAGCCTCATTTACCTCCAGCTATTCTGGAATTCACTATGTAGACCACACTAGCCTCAGATTCAGAGAACTGGCTGCTGCTTTCTTCTGTGTGCTGGGACCACTGAGCTTGCCAGTGCTTTTTAAGAAACGATATGAGTTTTCTTGAAGAAAGCAGCTAGCTGGGGCTGGAGAAAGAACTCTGGGCAAGGTGGGCAAGAGTGTTTGCCCTGTAAGGAGGAGGCCTGTGTTTAGATCCCATCACCCAGTGAACAGCTGGACAAGGCTGACTGACTATGCCTATGACTCCAGTGTCAACAGGTGAGAATGAAAGGACCCCAGGGGCTCATCGACCAATCAGCCTACCCTGTCTTAACTAGGATAGCGCAGCAGTTAAGGCCTCTTGCTGCCCAGCCTATGGACCCAGGTTTGATTCCCAGAACCCATGCAGGGAAAAGCCTTACAGAACCAACTCCAACTCCTGCAGGTTACCTGACCTCCAAATGCATGCCTTGTACATGCACAGTCACCTGCAGTCTAAAAGGGAAGGCGAAGAGTGATGTGTAGGCACAGACACTGACATGCACCACATACACACACACACACACACACACACATACACACACACACACAAATATTGAAGGTAAAAGTAGTCAGTTTGTAGTGTACTCATAAATTTTCCAAGATGACTGACATGTCAGAAGCAAAGCATTTTTGCCATTTTGCATTTTGTAATGGTGAATGTTTAAAATGCTGATGGAAAGAATTAATGAAGTTAATCATTTGGCTGTGTCAATGAAAACAAGGCACTCACTGTTTTCATTGGTAACCTCCTGTGGAGGAACCCTTGCGGGTTGACTGAAGTACCTGCTTTTTGCCTTTAGAGAAGCTATTGCAGTTGCCAAGGCTCGGCTTCGCCCTGAAGACCCTGTTCTGAAGGACCTGTACCTGAGCTGGGGGTCCATCCTGGAGAAAGATGGCCACTACGCTATCGCAGCCAAGTGGTAAGCAGAGAGGCTGAAGTTAATTTAGTATCTGCCTGGAGCACACAGAATGGAAAAAGCTCAGTGTAGAAATGGGTGCAGTGACTGGAGATGTAAAAATGGAAAATGCAGCCCAGCTTCATGTCCCACAGTTACCTGAATTGGCACAGGCAGTCTTGAAAGTTATACCTGTTTCCATTGATTAGATAAGCAGAATGTGGGGGTGAGTCCTCTCTAGGTCTATCAGCACTTGTAGAGGTTCAGCACAGTGTACAAGTCACCAGCATGTGGCCATCCTGACCTTGACCATCACAGAGACAGGGCCACCGGGATGCACAGGCAGTCATATGGACAGAAGAGGTGTGGAGGGTGGCATTGCTGGTGACAGGGTTTCATTCTTGCCACAGCTACTTAGGAGCCACTTCCGCCTATGATGCAGCCAAAGTTCTGGCCAGAAAAGGAGATGCAGCCTCACTCAGAACAGCTGCAGAGCTGGCTTCCATAGCAGGAGAAAGTGAGCTGGCTGCTTCCCTGGCTCTCAGGTGTGCCCAGGAGCTGCTTCTGGCGAAGAACTGGGTGGGCGCACAGGAAGCCTTGGGTCTGCATGAAAGCTTGCAGGTCAGTGTCTGGAGCCTGGGGGGGGGGGGGTGCCTGGGTCCCTCTCTGGTCAAACTTGCAGTTCATTAAGTGTCCTTTAGAAATGTCCAGAAGCCATGGTGGCTATCCTGATGCTACAGGGCTGAGGGGTGGACCAGGTGTAGCTTCCGTCCAGATAGAGAGGGACTGGGTTAAGGACCCTGGGTTATAAACAGTTCCCTGGGCTACCAAGGCACCTGCAGAGCTGCTGCATGGTCCCTTTCACACTACTCCAATGCAGTAGCAGGCATGCTAGGAGGCTTGGGTGCTGTGTATTCAACCGGACATGCCCTGTCATCTTTGTTTTTGTGTGTTATACCTCTTTGTTGCTGGATCCTAGGGTCAGAGACTGGTCTTCTGCCTCCTTGAGCTTCTGTGCCGGCACTTGGAGGAAAAACAGCCTCCCGAGGTCAGAAGCCCCTCCTCCGTTTACCACCAGTGGGCCACAGGCTCTGAAGGGACCTTGGTGCAGAGAGTGACTGATGTGTGGCGCAGCACCTTCAGTGTGGACACCCCAGAGCAGTGTCGGGCCGCCTTGCAGAAGCTGCAGGATGTCAAGTATCCATCTGCAACAAGTAACACTCCCTTCAGACAGGTATGCCATGGCCCAACCTTAACAGGAGCTATGTAGGGCAGGTGTTCTTTATCCCTCAGAAAATACGTAAAACAGTTTGTATCTCAAAACAGACATGGCAATCCAGGCCCTGGGAAGACCCCTCAGATGAAAGCCTTAAGCTATGTATTCCTTTGGGGCTCTCATTTGTTTAATTTTAAAATACAAGCAAGTTTGGGGCTGGTGAGATGGCTTGGTGGTTAAGAGCACTGGCTGCTTTTGGCAGAGTCCAGGTTGGGTTATCAGCACCCACATTTCCAGGGATCCAACACCCTCTTCTGGCCCTCGTGGGCACCAGACATACACATCACACATAGACATACATATAGGCAAAATACTATATACAATAAAGTTGAAGTCCTCTTAGTCTCCTGAGCTGCTTCTTCACCCATTGTACTCCCTGCTCACCAGAGAGTACCTGCCCCCAAGTTACCCATGCTATGCCGAGATGTACTGTAACCACTATGTTCATCTTGGAAACATACTTCAGTTTGTCTGCTTTCTGAATTTTTAAATGAAAAGGCACATTTTTTAGTAAGGAGACTTCCTCAAATGGTATACAAAATGGGAAGCAGCTTTGCTGTTTCTTATCAAGTGACTGGGTGATTCACAACAAGAAGTGAAATCAGTTTAATCCCAGCAGAGGCTGGCAGAGACTAGCCTGGTCTACAAGAGCTAGTTCACAGGGCAGGCTCCAAAGCCACAGAAGAACCCTCTCAAAAGACCAACAAAAAAAAGAAGTGAAAGCAGGAGGCCACTCAAAAAACCTGTATACAAATATTTGGAGATATTTAGTCCACAACAGCCCCCAAACAAACAACCACACACAAGGGAAAAATAGATCTCTGCAGATCATTGAGCCCCCAGAAACATGCCGACAGTCCCAAGACCCAGTAAACTGAAACTGTGGCTCTGTTTACATAGATTCCAGGAAAAACATCTATGTGGCATAAAAAAGTAGCTCGAAGTCTGAAGTGGGGGGTGGGGGTAACTAGGAAAGATACTGTCAGAAGGTTGGTGTTTGACAAAGGTATTCTGTGCCTTCATTCTAACTGCGTGTTAGAATGCTTCAAACTGCATAATCTAAGGGCTGGAGAGATGGTTCAGTCAAGTAGGTAAACTGGGTTTAGTGCCTAACACAGCAGTTTTCACCCATGTCCCCAGGACTAGGGAGACAGAAGCAGGTAGACCTGAGGGCTTGCTGTCAAGACAGTCTAGCCAGATTGGTGAGCCTCAGGTTCTGGGAGAGACCCTGCCTCAAAAGATAAAATAGGGCTGAGTGGTGGTGACATACCACTTTAATCCCAGCACTTGGGAGACAGAAGCAAGCATATCTCTGGATTTGAGGCCAGCCTGGTCTACAGAGTGAGTTCCAGGACAGTCAGGGCAGAGAAAACCTGTCTCAAGAATAAAAAGATAAAATGGAGAGGGATTGGAAAAGACAACTGACGTTGTACCTCTGACTGCCACATCCTAAAATGGATCGCTATCAACTGTATTCCCATTATTCTGTTGATTTTCTTCTTTTTGTTTTGTTTTGCGATGGGGTCTCAGGCTGTAGCTGAGGATGACCCTGAAGCCCTGGACCTCTTGCCTCCACCTCCCCAAAATGCTAAGATTACAAGTGTGTGTCACCACACCAAGTTTATGTAATGCTGAAGACTGAACCCAGGGCCTTGTGTGTACTGAGTATGCTCATGGCCAATTAAGCATAACCCCCCCCCAATTTGTTTTTCTAATTATAGCTTTTTAGATACAGAAATTTAACTTGCTTTGGTTTTGTTTGCAGTCTGAAAACAGGATGTTATACAACCCAATCTGCCTTTGATCTCATGATCTCCTGCCTCAGCTTCCTGGGCATGCCAGCTTTCTTTGCCTTTACTGTTTTCATTAAGTGTAGTGGTCAGTGCATCCTCCTCAGAATACTCAGACTTTAGCACCAGACAGAGGGTAATAGGTGGGAAGTAAAGGCCTTCCAGGGTAGCTGTTCTGTGCAACTGGGTTCCGGGACAGTGGGACCAGGATGGTCAAGTCTCTGCCACAGCAGGGTGTTAACAGATGAGTGAGACTCTGGCCTCTTTCCAGCTGCTGCTTCATGTCTGCCATGACCTGACCCTGGCAATGCTGAGCCAGCAGGCTGCCTCCTGGGAGGAGGCTGTACCGGCACTGCTGCAGGCTGTACTTCAGAGCTACACCTCAGGGAACTTCACCCTCATGCAGGAAATCTACTCAGCCTTTCTCCCAGGTGGTAAGTCACACGCCCATACACACACCTCTGCCTGGGGCCCTCGCATTATAGCACAATATAACCACCTCAGATGGTACTGTACTAGGAGTAGCAACATCATTAAAAGGTGATAAGGCTGTAGCATGAGGAGCACAGATTTTGAGCTGCATAGGTTACAAAGTGGGGGGGAAAAAAAAAAAAAACAAGCCACTGGTGTCTTTACCTGGCCATGCTCTGTCCCTTAGAGCTTAGCTGGAGAGGTAAAGAAGCAGCTGGTATGGGGTGCAGGCACTCTGACATCTCAAACTCAACATGGAGGAAGATGGTCAGACTGAGCAGTAGTTCAGGGTAATCTTTGGTTATGTGGTGAGTTTAAGGCTAGCCTGAACTACATGAGACTCTGTCAAAACCCCCCCCCCCAGAAAGGGAGGGGCAAGAAATGTGACTTTCCAGCTGGGCAGTGGTGGCACACACCTTTCATTCTATCACTCGGGAGATAGGCAGGCGGATCTCTGTGAATTTAAACCCAGCCTGGTCTACAGAGAGAGTTCCAGGACAGCAAGGCTATATAGAAACATTGTCTCAAAAATAAATAAATAAATAAATAAAATGTGAGTTTCCAAGCTGGAAAGATAAGGAAAACTAGGCATTTCTTAACTATGTGATTAGTCCCTACAATTAATCTCAATTTCCAGAGCACAGTGTGGTTCAGACCCCTACCCCCACCACATTAGTGTGACCCCAGAGCTCTTAATGAAACAGTACTTTCTGTCATGCTGTGACCTGTGGCAGTGTTTGCATTGTCCTAAGGAGGGAAAGGAAATGATTAATTCCACTGGCTGTGGGCAGAGGATATAATCCCAAAAGTTACATTGCTGTCCTTTTCCTGGGATCTGTCTTGTTGGATGACAGAACACAGGGGTGAGAAGCCAGGTTTCTCACAGATAAATGTACAACCTATCCTAAGATCCTTTTCTTCTAGGCTGTGATCACCTACGAGACAAACTGGGTGACCTATCTCTTGCCACTGCAGCTTTCAAAAGCTTGGAGGCCTTTTTTATTTACGGGCAACTATATGAAGTATGGTGGTCACTCTGTGGTACTGTCCCTGAATCCAGCGTCTGGGTGAAAAACACAGTCTCTGCAGAGCAGAGGGAGCCAGAGGACAGAGCCAGTGCCAAGGACACAGAGCCTGAGGCTATTGCTGAGCCACAGGCAAGCCAGGCTCCAGCCCCAGGCCTCAGGCTCAGTGCAGAGAGTGAACATTTACTTAGTGCCTGCAGAGAGCTATTCTCAGAAAGGCACGCCAGCCTCCAGACCTCCCAGAGGACTGTTGCTGAAGTCCAAGAGACACTGGCAGAAATGATCCGCCAGCACCAAAAGACTCAGCTCTGCAAGGCCACAGCCAATGGCTCCAACAGAGATGACCCCAGCCAGGAAGCAGAGCAGGCACCTTCTCAACCTGAGAGCCTAAGGTAAGTTCAGGTCTGGGACTATGGGTTGCCTTGTTGTCTGCAACTGTGTCAGGATAAGTTTGTGATGCCGTTGACTAGGCTGCTGGGAATCAGCAGACCTAGATCAGACAGCTAATTCCAGCCCTCCTGAAGCCGCTCAGTGCTTACAGATTACACCTACATTAGCATTCACCACTGAGATTACAGGTGTGTGCCACTCACTATGTGTGCTTCTGGTGCTTCATCTTGATTACATTCCTTACTGATAGAAAATAGCAGTAAGCTCAGAAATCTAGAACTTGTATTAACTGTAAAAAATTATGGGGCTGGAGAGACAGATTGTAATTAAGAGCATTTGCTCTTTTAGAGTTCCTTTCTGTCACAACAGCTGTAACTTTAGCTCCAGAAGATACAATGCTCTCTTCTGACTTGTATGTGTGCCTGCACTTTTATGTATATGCTCACACATAGAAACACCTGCATACACATAAATAATAAATCCAAAAAAGGAAAATTGTAATCTCAGTGCTCCAGAGCTGGAGGCAGGACACATTGAAATTGTGGCTACCTAGGAAATGTGGGGCTTTCTCCAAAGAAATTAGAAAGTGGTCTGTTCAAACTTCGAAATCCCAGTCACTGCTATAGGCAGTTAAGATTTGCTTTTTATGTGTGTAAGACATGATGTTGGGCTGGAGAGAAAGCTCAGAGGTTAAGAACACTTGACTGCTCTCCCAGAGGTTCTGAGTTTAGTTCCCAGCAACACATAGTGGCTCACAACCATCTATAATGAGATCTAGTGCTCTCTTCTGGTGTGCAGACATACATGCAGACAGAACATTGTATACATTTAAAAAAAAGACATACTCTTTCCCTGTGGCAGTCCTTCTATCTCAGCCTTCCGAGTGCTGGGATTATAGGTATGAGTACAGCTAGTTTGCTTTTAGGAAAAAGTGCTGGAAAGCCCTCAGATCAGCTCTTTCCTTTCCTGTGAGGATCTTAACACTGCTCCTGACTGCCTCTCCACTCCTTGGAGGCCCTGGTCTTTCACATTTGTCTCAATCTTTCCGCTAAAGCCCCTATATTTTGTGTCTCAAGTTTTGGAAACACAACACATCACATCTTTAGGTGTATATCTCACCCCATTTTGTTGCCTACTCGATTTCTGTATTTATGCGTTGAAGTTACTTAGGCATAACAAGTGACTGGATTCAAGAAAGTACAGAGGATGTGACAAATAGCCAGTCACTCATCACTGGAGACAAGCAAATCACGACACAATGAAGGAAATCACGACACAATGAAGGACTGGGTATATGGCTGAATAAGGATAGTCTGTCCCCAACATAGAAGCCCTGGATTCCATCACTGGTGGCACACTAAAAAAAAAATGGACATAGTGGTGCATGCCTGTTATCCCAGCGCTGGTAGGATAGAAGCAGGGGATTGAGAGTTCAAGATCATCTCAGTTACATTGTGAGGTTCAAGGCCAGCCTATGTGAGACTCTTCCTTTAAAAAATAAAATGAATCTACAGTGAAATACTACTTCACACCCAGTGTGCTGTGGCTGCTACCAAGGATGGTACAGCACAGCTTGAATCTGTGTCCTTGGTGAGAATGATGAAAATTCCTCAGTATTAGAAAATGAGATTTGCATGAGATCCAGCAGTTCTACTCCTGTGTCAAGAAGAGTTGAAAACAGGGCAGCCCGGCATGGTTCTACATGCCTATAACCCCAGCACTCCAGACCCCAAGGTTAAAGCCAGTCTGAGCTATACAGCAAAATCAGTCTGTGTGTGTGTATGTGTAATTGAAACCCCTATATTAAACACTTGTAGCACTGTGCATGATAGTACTGAAAATGGGGAGCGGCCTAGTATCTCGAAGGACAGTGGGTAGATGAGCAGAAATGGTATATTCATTCAGTGAAATACTATTCAATGTTTACAATATTCAAAAAGAAGGGAATTGTGGCGTATACTACATTTACTACAGGGTAGATGGCATAATGATTCTTGGCCAACAAGCTGAGATAGAGCATTACCACAGAAGGGCAAGCTTCAGTCTCACAAGAACTCTGGCCCTGAACAGGTGTGGTAGTGAATGCCTTTAATTCCAGAACTCAAAAAGGCCAGCCTGCCTGGTCTACAAATCAAGTTCCAGGCCAGCCAGGGTCACACAGGACCTCAGGTCCTGGATGATAATGATGGTTGCACAGCATGATGAGTGGAAGTATGTTTTTAGATGGGTGAAATCATATTAACTATTATTTTACCATAATAAAAACATTGGGGATAGGCAGGTTACTCAGTAGGTAAAGGCATTTGCCACCAAGCCTGATGACCTCTGTTTCATTGGAGAGCACCAATTCCCAAACGTTGTCTTCTGACCTCCACATATACACACTGTGGCGTGCAAGTACAACCATGATCATACACATGTAAACATTTGGTAAAGGTTGGGTGACCATATATGACTTCTGTTTATTGTTACTCTTAGTAGCAGAGAAGAAAGAAAGGCACCAGCCTCTCTCCCTGAATTAACCAGAAGACTCACAGAGGCAAATGAGAAAATAGCTGAGTTTCCAGAGAGTGTAAAGGTAAGAGTGTTTGGAGATGCTTCATGACAAACCCTGAAGGTCATCTACATCCACCATTGTATATCCTGAAAATTGTAGGATACAAGAATTGGGTGTGCTAGTGCATGCCTTTAATCCTAGCACTGGAGAGGTAGAGGCAGGTGGATTTCTGCGTTTTAAGGCTGCCTGGTCTACAGAGCAAGTTCCAGGACAGCTTAAGGGTATACAGAGAAAGCCTGACTTGAAAAGACCGCCCCCCCAAAAAAAAAAAAAAGTAAGATGCAGTTATCTCTGCTTAGCTGAAGTGATTTGGGAAAGTAGCAGTGCAGTACTGACCACATGATAGCTTCCAGCTCAGTTTGGGGGAAAACCAAACAAGACTTACGTATGATTGAGAGATAAAACATTCAGGTCAATGTAGAGGGTAGGTAGCACATGCCTAGCACTCATGGAGGAGCAGTGCATTGGACTGTAGCCTGGTGCTAGGAGCAGTGGCGTGTGTGAGTTGATCTGGGAACACTTAGAAGACTCACCCATGAGGACATGCCAACAGACATATCAGTTTCATCCATTTCTCCATACAATTGTCAGTGCACACCTCTGCAGACGCTGCCTTGTCTTATCATTGTTTTAGGCCTGGCCCTTTCCAGATGTGCTGGAGTGCTGCCTCGTCTTGCTTCACATCGGGTCACAGTGTCCTGGTGCTGTGAACCCTGAGATGCAGCAACAGGCCCAGGAGCTCCTTCAGAAGTATGGCCACACTAGAGCTTACAGAAGACACTGCCAGACCCTGCACACATGAACTACCAGAGGCCATAAAGCTGTGTCGCACAACTTGTGACAGCTTTCTTCTCAGTCACAGTTCACCAAGCCTTCACACCCTGATCTTCAATGGAATGATGCTGTGGTCCAACTGACGGCTGAGGGTGATGTTCGAGTCCACTCACAATGGAGCCTGCCTGGTCCCTCCCAAGTGGTTTCCTGTAATGGAGTGAAAAGCCAGCAGAGTCACTCCCAACCAGCCCTCACCAAGACTGTCGTCTCAAGCCTTACGAGGTGTCCCCAAAGAGAAGCCTTTGTGTTCACCCAAAGTCTGTCTGTCCCAGATGCAGCTGCCTTTATAAACCCTCACCTCGGAAGGGTCTCCTTCTGTTGGAGCTGCACTTGACATGCTTATCACTGTTGGGGAGAGGGGGCTTCTTAATTATTTGTTAGCTGGGCCTTCTCACCTCTCAAAGACTAAAGGAATTAGCCTTGCCCATCCTGTTGACAATCTCATTCGGTCAACAGTGATTTTATTTTTTATGGAGTTGCTTATAGGGACAAATGGCTAAAGCTTTCTGAAAACAGCTAATGAGGCCAGGCCATCTGTTGTCCTCCAGTTTTTGTGACATGGCTGAAGGTGGTCAGACAGCTCAGGAAAAAAAAAAAAAAAAATCACTTCTAGTGGTTCTTTAATCTTTTGGGGTCATAAAATCCTTTTTTGAGAATTGACTAAAACACAGCCTGAAGAACAATACATTATTTCCTCATTTTATATGTGCCTCCCAGGTCATTACTTACACTTTACACCCTGAACCCTAAAGTACTATTTATTCACCAGCTCTGGACCTGCTGCTAATAACAACCCAGCAAGACAGGTCAGAGACTGATGCCTCCACTGTCACTGGTTTCTAGGACAGGAAAAGCAGATATGTTCAGCTTGGGTACTCAGCATACCTTCCTCCTGTCTCTTGAGGTCCATTGTGAAGGCTTCATCTGTGGGTAGCAAGTTTCCCAGCTGGAACTCCATGGGATGTGCATCTAGAGATAGTTGTGTGTCTAGCTTTGGGCTCTAAAACATGCTAAACCCAAAATAAGTTAGTACTGTACCACTGTGTGAACACTAGGAAGATGCATTGGTCTTAAAGGCAAGAGTCTTAAGAAAGATGCTAGTGGGCTTGACTTCATAGAGGACTGGATAGTTCCAAGCAGTTTCATCTACAGAATGGGAAAAGCTGGTCCCCTCTACTTGAATAAAGAGTAGTTGGTACACTACAAACTTACCTTTGTTATTTGCTGAAACCAGTGCTTGATGGGAGCAACCCTGCACACTGCATGCCTCTGTTACTGCTGGGAAAGACCAGAGGCAGGAGGAATTCAAATTCAAGTCTAGCCTGGGCTATGAAGCAAGACGTCTCAAAAATAGTAATGATAATCCAATGGGCTAGAGTGATGGTTCAGGTTAAGAGCCCTGGCTGTTCTTTCACAGGGTCTGGGTTCAATTTCAGCACCACATGGTGGCTTATACATCTATAACGTTCCAGGGGATCCAACACCCTCCTCTGACCTCCAGTCACCAGGCGTACACATAATACATAGATATACACACTCAAAAAGAAATGTAAAATAAAACTACCCAATAGAAAAAGTGACAGCCATTTTCCACCTAAACTACTCTTCAGTATTGTATGTTATCCACCTGCTATTACTTGAATATTAATTCTGAATCCCTACTTATGAGAACCAGAGAAGCAAAGGCATTCTCTCAAGGTTCTAGCAGGAAAGCATGTGTCACTAAGCAAACTTTTCTTGGGGATGGGGCAATGTCTTTATCCCTGTCTAAAGTAATTTGGTCTAGACCTGTTCAGTTAACTTCTACTCTTTTCTTTTGGAGGGGGAGGGAACTTTTGGTTTTTTCGAGACAGGGTTCATTGTGTAGCTAGCCCTGGTTGTCTTGAAACTTACTCTGTAGACTGGGCTGGCCTGAAACTCATGGGATCTGCCTGCCTCTGCCTCTCAGGTGCTGGGATTAAAGGCTTGCACTACCACTGCCCAGCAAAAAAACTGAATTTAAGTGGTCCAGACCCTGTGTAAAGCCTAATTGCACACTAGGGCACCCTTAACTGAGAGCCACTTTGCTCACAGGTATACAGACCTGCCAGCCAAAGTTCTAGATCTGTCTGGTACAGTGGTGCAAACCCTACACTCCTTGCTATTCAGGAAGACAGCTATTCAGGAAGTCTGGGACAGCCTATGTAACAAAAGACCCTGACCAGAAGAACCCTCTAGAAGGGCCCTAATACTTGACTGACAGCCTTACTTTTTTTGTGAACAGTAAAAGCTTTGGTGGTGGTTGGGGGGGGGGGTGGACTCAATTAGGAAGTCTTAAGTTCAAATGCCCTACAGAATTCCACTGAGTCTAACCTATACATAGATATACAATTAAAGCTACTCCACTGTCCTAGTAAAACCCAACAGCCAGCAGGGTGTGAAGGTATGCTCCCTCAATGAGATCTTCCTTCCAAGGCTAATTTGTTCTGAGGTAAGCCAATTCTATCACAGATACCAGATCCTTGCTACCAAAGACCACATCTCATGCCAGTGATTAAAAAGCAATCTTTATTTTACAAAATTAAAAACATAAATAATATTTACAAACATCTTAAATACCAGTTGACATTTTGTAATCATTTCAAATTCAGTTTCCCACAAGCTTTTAAAATGTAAGACCACTCCTGCCTGCTTCAGTGAGCTGCTGCCATCTGTCTCCACCTTCCAAAGAAGTTTCTGCTTTCTCAAAATTGTACTTTCTATAGTCATTTTAAAAAAGTGTGCTTCCAGAAGGCCTAACCTTAAAAAAAATCATCAGCTTCTGACAGAGCTCTGGGATGACTCCCAGATGTCTGAGGTGAAGTCCCTTACTGCCCTGCTCACAAGTGACTCATGTGACTTGCTAAGATTCAGCATTCCAGAGCTCAGCTTTACCACCTCTTGACATCTCAGGCTTGCTAAATAAAAGCAGGGGAATGGAATCTAGAGAACACAGCTGATTGAGATTACCCTGCTGAGAACAAAATGAACTTGGAGCATGATCTAGCCTAGGGAAGTTCATCTCAAAACTAAGATGACTTGAGGTGAGGCTCAGCTGCCAGCTTAACACCACAAAAAGGAGAGACTCTGAGCTCTCCAGGTTTCAGCTTGGCAATCATTGAGTAGAACAATCAGGACTGCTCTGTCCTGGAAAACATTGACAAAGGCAGGGCAGAGCCGGCTGGTGCAGACCTACTTCCCCAAACATACACCATGTTCCCTGACAGTCTCAGCTCATCTGAGAATCTTCATCAGAGCAGCAAAAGAAAAAGAATGACAACGCATAAGAGTCATATACATTTTACTGGTTTGTTTCAGACATCCTGGAGGTTTAAAAAGGTGTCCATGGAGCCATGGATGCTGGTGGCAGGAGGCAGCAGAGGGACGTGGGCATGAGGAAAAGGAAGACTTGTTTACAAATTCAGAGCAAACCCCCTTCTTCTGGATCTAAAATAAAGGCATCTTTAACAGAAACCCGAAGTCTCTGCTTGGAGCAGAAGCAAGTCAATGGCTGGGGCAGATGGCACAGGCGGCATGGTGCATGGTGCACACGCTATCACTGCTGCATGTTGTTGATCATGGCCAGAATGCTCATCTTCTCCTGGGCAGAGTCCACATCCTCATTCTGCTTCTGAGCCACTCCTGTGCCCAGGCCATAGAGGCGCCCACAGTACTTGGCATCATCAATACTGTCCTCAAAGAATAGCTGCAGAACAGGACAGAACCAGCTGAGAATGGGGCTAGGAGTCATGACACCTCCCGGCTTCTTATGCCATGACACTCAGCAGACTGGACACTAACTGAGCAATGACAACATCTCCCACGGAGGCTTTTCCTGTTCCTCTACATCAGGGCTCTGCTTCCTAAACAGCCTGGGAATTCTGATTTGTCACTGCTGGGAACCATGAGCTACTGCCAAGCAAAGCAGTGATTAAGAACTCAGGCTTGCCAAGTCACTTCAATTCCATTCCACCATGCTTCCTTATAAAAGTCAGGAAAGCCGGGTGAGGTGGCACACACATGTAATCCTAGCACCCGAGAAGCTAAGGCTGAAAGTGACTGAAGAGATCATGGACAGTGAGCAGCTCAACCTTAACATCACTGGGCAGATGCTGTCTAGTTCAATCACAAGACATTGAGCACAGCCCTGGCCAGAAGCACCACCTCTGCTACGTGTAACAAGAAACATCTCCAAGGCATCACCAAATGTGCCAGTTGGCAACCACTGACCTAATAATACACTTGTTACTATTTAGATCTAAAATGTTCCTAGAAGTCCTTGTGTTGAAGGCTTAGCACCAGCTTGTATGGTTACTAGGAAATGGTAAAAACTTGAGGTGAAGAGTTGTCTGGGCCAGGCTCTGTACTCAGTCTCTTCCTCTATTCCCAAGCCACCAGAAGATGAACAGACCTCCTGCCAGGCCCTAGAACTCTGATACTCTAACTTGCTGGGGCAGACAAGAGCCAGCCAACCACTAGCTAAAATCTCTCAAGTTGTAAACCAAAATAAACTAGTCCTTTGAAGTTGATGGCCTCAGTTATTTTGTCAAAGCCACAGAAAACTAGTTAAAATAAACTCCTGAACTCATAATAGTGGTTAAAAACACAAAAAAGAAATTCTAACTAGTCTGTTATCCCAGACTTTAGGAGGCTGAGGCAAGGAGATAGTCAGGTTCAAGGACAGGCATAAGCCTTTAATCCCAACACTCATGAGGCAGAGCAGGTAGATCTCATGTACATATGAGTTTAAAGCCAGACAAGGCTACACAGACACAGGGAAAATCAAAAGCAATAGAAGAAAAATGTCAACAAAATTGTAATTTTTTTCCCCTCAAAGTAGGGTTTCTCTAGGTAGCCTTGACTGTACTTGAACTCTCTTTGTAGACCAGGCTGGCCTTGAACTCATGAGATCCACCTGTCTCTGCATCCCACGTGCTGGCAGGGCACCACCATTGCCCAGCTTTCATTGTAATTTTTCAAAGCATATTTTTCCTTTTCAAACATTTTAGAACTTTTAAAGAGTAGGTAAATAAACTAAAAGAGAAATTCACTCTTCGTTAACAGTGAATTGGCCGAACTGGGTAGACTAACAAATAACATTCCTATAATAGAAAGCAGAAGTAAATAAAGGAGAAGCTGCCTGGAAACTCAAGAAGCCTTACACTGGAGCATTACCTCTTTCATCCTGAAGAAAGCCATCCCTGTCAGCAGGGAGTCTGAGCCTGCTTGATGCTGCCTTCCAATCCTCTGCAAATCCAACTGATCAGCCACCTCCTGAAGACCTCCCTAGAGGACAGAAAACAAAAGATGTCACATACTAACACTATTCTGAACTCAAGACTACTACTCCATTTAGCAGTGAGACAGGCTCATTCATTGAACAAGCCTCAGTAGGTAGGCATTTTTCAGATTTTCACTCTCCTTCCCACACAATACACTATGTACATGCAAAGACAAGAAAACAACTTCTCAAGTTCTCTTCTACCACACAGGCTGCA